CTAGTTATTTGTTAAAGTTGCTGATGATTTTAGCATCAGTTCATACCTTTCTCCAAACTGGAATTTATCAGTTACGTAATAAATTGTTGCAGGATTTGAGCTTATAATGCTATTTATTCTTGTACAATATCAAGTTAAGAATAAGAATTGTGTATGTAATTAGGAAGAACAGTTACCCAAGCGAATTAAAATTTGCATCTAGAGTAAGGGTCTGGTTCTTATCTAAAATTTTGAGTTTCTCCTAATCAAATAATAAAAAATATAATAAATTTGTCTTTAAAAAAATTTAATTTTTATTTCAGATCTCTAGAGTAAGGGTCTGTTTTCCTCTTTAAATGCTGCTTTAGGAGACCATTGTCTTGTCTTCAAAAAAAAAAAAAAAAAAAGACCATTGTCTTTCTTTACTTCTTTGTTTTACAGAAGCACATGACTTTGCTGTCTTGTAACATAACGAAAATAGCAACTGTAAATCAGAAGTCAGAACTAGCTACAGTGGCGTAAATGTGTAACCAGAAATTTTACGTTGGAGTGCATCTAGGCGCATAGGGTCTATGTATTTTGCATGCATATAGGAGGCCAATTTGGAATTCGGTGGTACATTTTCTCTCTTTTAATGGTATAGTGGTACATTTTTGTGTACTATTATGCATGAATAATGTACCATTAAAATATAAGTTGTCTGAATAATATTTTTGTATGTATTATTATGCATGTAGTGGTACTTTTTGTCATCATATTTTCCACCACCGCTTTTTCTCAGGTTCTCATTATTTACAAAAATGTCATCCTATTTGCAAGTGAAATATATAGTGCCTATGCGCCAATACCTCTCCCATCAAGGGGCCTAAGATCATTCAAAAATAAAATTATTCGCTAAATTTTATTTTTTTAAAAAAATTATATAACTTTTACTAATAAATGAGTCTGAGGAGCATCCGCCACAAGTGTCCACCTTAAGTCTAAGGAGGTTTCACCTCAAAACCATATGACAATGATGAGAGTAGCCCCTTAGCCTTATAAAAGTCGACACAACTTTTATTTTTATTTTTATTTTTATTTTTTTTATTTTTTTTTTTAATGTAGGAGGGTGGAAAGAATGTGGGATACACATCTCAATACTCTTCTTCACTTTTACACTCTTTAAATGTGGGATAAAACTTTCACTCACATGAAAGTTTGCTTATGGACTCAACAGTCAGGTCAGTCACAAACTTATAAATGACTTTCCATACAAGTTTAGCCAACTGATCTACTTACTAAGCATTGTCTATAATTTCAAACAATAATATTTATACAAGATCGAGAAATGCCAAATCGGATCGGGTATTCAAGTTGGGTGTTGAGTCGGGTTCAAATGAAAAACAAAAATTAAACTTGGGTTAGTTGAGTGCACCATGCACCTGTATGTATGAATATATAAAATTTCAAGATATCTCACATGATATAATTGATGTTTATAATAATTAATTATTATAGTCAAAGTTATGAAAAGTTGACCATAAAACTATAACAATAATTCTTGTGTAAGGCGGGTGAACATTAATTAATTTTATTGTAAGACGGTTATTTTTATGGTAACTTTAACCCCTTAAAAGGTAACTTTTAATTTGTTGTTGGTTTGAATTTTATTTAATGTGTAATTTCTTATAGATTCATGATTACATACTATAGAAGCTATATGATTAATCTAATACATTATAAGTTTTTTGAAAGATAATTTATAATTAGAAAAATAATAATTTTTGTAGTATAAATGGTATCTTTAATTACGTTTAAGATAACTTTAACTCATTTTACAATAAATTAACGTACACTCCACCTTTTTGGAGAATTTGTGAAATCATAAAAGAAATCAGGAGGAATGGAAAGAGTAGTAATCAAATGATGATCAATTCGGTGTATATTTTACTAGTTAAAAAAATGTACTTTATATTTACAGAATTACAATTTGTATTTATTTATCAGTTAAAAAAGAAGTATGTATGCATATAGTTTAGCGTAAAAGCCCGTAACTATTTAGGAAAAAGCAAATAATGATTTATTTTTCACAAATTCTTATATGTGGCTAGCCACACGGTGTGGCCAGCTATAATAAGGGTTACTTCGTTAGTATTATAGGGGTTATCCGATTAGTGTTCCGGGGTTACTTTGTTAGTGTTATAGGGGTTACTTCGCGAATATTTTAGGGTTACTTAGTCAGTGTTATAGGGGTTACTCGATCAGTGTTTTAGGGGTTACTTTGTTCTTATACAAGTGGCCACAGGTATTACCAGTCGCACACAAGACGTGCTGTTTAATTTTTCATAAAGATGTACATAGAAAAGAAAACTTAATTATAAAATTTAAACTCAATTTGTTTTAGTTGATATTATTAAATATTACGAGTACATTAGATTAGATGTAAATTTTTTTCCAAAAAAAAAAGAAAAAGGATAGGCTGTAATTTTTTTGGAAAATTAACACATTAAGATTTTTTTTTTCTTCAGGAAAACGTAGTTTATAAAATTAATCTACTTTCTTAGCAGTAATTAATTAAATATTTCAATATTTCATACTAAATGCAAATTTTTTGTTTTAGGGCATTATTTTATTTGTATTAATACAACTATAATTCTATCTTTCTTTTTTTTTTTTTTTTTTTTTTATCTATTAACACAATAACCACTTAAAAAAAAATATCATAAAAGAAAATCCACCTAAATCTTTGACCCTAATCCACTTTTTATATAAATAATTCCGTGTTAAAGCTAGCTAAAACTGACTAATAACTTACCCTAGCGTGCATAATAAGTATATATACCGTACGTCCGTACTTTTTTTCTTGCAACAAAATCAAATTAAATTCTCTTCACTATTTTTTCAACAAAAAAAGACGAATTTCAAGTATCATCACAAGCAAATATCATGGATAGTTTAAGCAACGAAACAGAAAATTACTGGAATATAATTCCACCGGGTTATCGTTTTGAACCAAGAGATGAAGAACTAATTACTCATTACCTAACTAAGAAGATTAACGGCGAAGCTTTGCCACCAAACAAGATGCACGAGGCTGAATTGTACGGCATGTTCGGTCCTGAAGAGCTTACACGTAAGTTTTACAATAATGAATTTTTCATTCTTGATCGTCTTTGTTTTCCTTTTATTCGTCTGAAATTATTCCTTGATTGTTTGCTTGGTGCATGTTATTAATCTTTGAATTTATTCACTAATTTCATGTTGATAGTACGTGTATGCATGTTGATAATCCCTAGCTACTTTGTGATATTGATCGTCCAATTATTGCATATCAAGAAATCATGAATTATAAGATATTTTTAATTATTTTATTATTATGCATAGACCCCGTATAATTTAATTTTGTCCAAGAAATTCATACGACATTCATGTAATTAATGATTAGGGTAAAAAAAAAATCATGTTGTTCTTGTTCATACGTAATGATTAGGGAAAAAAATTAAATATAATTAAACGGATCATGTTATTCCCTTCGTTTCATAATATTAGTCTTATTTACGTGTATTAATACAATTCTTTGATGGTAAATATCTTTAATTTCAAACTAGCAAAAATTATAAAAACAAGATATTAATAATGCACTCATCGAGACAATTAAATCGAGATCTCATATGACTTTATTAATACGTTGATGTATAAACTTGTCATTAATATAAAGGTATACTCATATTTGACAAATCAAATTTTGTACGAAACTGTTTTCCTTAGTACACATTGCTTAAGATTCAAGAACATTTATGAAGTAAATAAATTGATAAATTTCTTCAATCATTTTTTTTTACGTACATTCTTTTTTTTAGTGGAGAATGAATACTACATTTATTTTTTTTGAACTAAAATTTAGATTCTTTTATCAAGAAAACAAAATTTAAAAATACAATCTCATAATTTAGTGGTAATTAAATATTTCTTACTAATTATATCTTGTATTAGGGCATTAATTTTATTTTATTAACACAACTATAATTCTATCTTTTTTTTTTTTTTTGAAAGGGACTATAATTCTATCTTTTTAGCTAACAATAACCAGAAAATCCACCTAAATCTATAACCCTAATCCATCTTTTTTTTTTTATGGAAAGTACCCTTATCCAAATGCAAATTTGCCCTAGCGTGCATAATAAGTTGTAATAAGTGTATATATACCGTGAGTCCGTACTTCTTTTCTTTCAACAAAATCAGATTAAATTCTCTTTGCTTTACTTTTCTTTCAACAAATAAACCTTCTTCAAGTATCATTCATAAGCTCAAATTAAATAATCATGGCTAGTTCGAGCAATGAAACGGTAAATATCTGGAATATGATTCCTCCGGGTTTTCGCTTTGACCCAAAAGATGAAGAATTGATTACTCATTACCTAGTTAAGAAGATTAATGGCGAAGCTTTGCCACCAAATAAGATGCATGAGACTGTATTGTACGGTGTGCTCGGTCCTCAAGATCTTACACGTAAGTTTTACGATGATTTTTTTCAGTCTTGACCTTATTTGTTTTCCTTTAATTTATTCGTCTGAAATTAATTATTAATTGATCGTATGATTTGTATTGTCCAATTATTATGTCTTCGTATGTTTTTTTTTTTTTTGATGATCTTGAATTCTTGATACATAAACTTGTCACTAATAAATATATATAAAGGCATACTCATGCATATTTGACGATTAAATTAAGTTTTGTATAAACTACTGTAAGTTTTCCTTAGTTTACATATATGGTTCATGATAATATATACAAGAATAGCCTTAAAAATAATTTTATATTCTAAGTGATGGGTGTTTGGTACTCTATAATTTGATGGTTTAGTATCTCTAGAATTATTTCATAATTTGATGATATGGACTCCTAACTAAGTCGTAAGCATTAGTATGCATGCTTTTCATTCTTGATTGTGTTTACTATATATGGTGCGTCAAATTTATACTTCTGTTTTGTTTAATTTAATTAATTACATTGTATCTCATGGTGATTAAGATTGTGTTGGTATTGTATATAATAATTTCTTGATCTTTGATGCAGTGTATTATGAACCCGAAAGTGAGAACACTTGGTATTTTTTCACAAGATTAGAAAGATTATATAAAAACGGAAGTCGACCTAGAAGATCCGCTGGCAATGGTTATTGGAAGGCTACCGGGGTGGATGCAACAATAAGTAACAAACAAGGAATAACTATTGGTTATAGGAAGGCTTTAGCATTCTTTATTAAAATCGAACCCGCTCCAAAAAATAAAAACGAACCCAAGGGAATTAAAACACCATGGCTCATGCACGAATTTAGGCTTAATAATATTCCTTCAACCTCGGAGCCTAAACCGAAAAGACTTAAAACAAATGATCATGATGGTACATCACAATCCCAAGGCTCCAAACCAAAAAATATGGTAAGCTATAATTACACTATAATATAGACTTTATAGAGTGTAACTTTGAAGCAATTTATTTGTAAATAATGTTTCTGTACGTTTTTAAATGGATTTTATTTATTTGCAGTTGGATGGTTGGGTGTTATGCAAAGTTTATAGAGTTGCTAGAGATGTCGAGGTTGAAGCTATAAATCAAGAGGAGCAGCATCTTCATCAAGAGGAGCAACATCAAGCTATTGCCCTAAATATTGGAGCTAATGATCATGTACTTATTCCAGCGATCGAGGATAGTTTTGAACATTTACAACGCAATCGTCAAGAGGAGCAGCATCTTCAACAAGAGGAGCAACATCAAGCTATTGCCCTAAATAATGGAGATAATCATCACTTACTTATTCCAGAGATCGAGGATAGTTTTGAACATCAACAACGCAATGAAGATATGCCACGATTTTCACAAGAGGAGTTGGAGTTTTTATACAACATTTTTCCATGTTGAGATCGAATATGAAAAGTATTTGTATGTATGATTACTGTGTACGGTTGTGGACTTGTAGTTAACAAGATTAATAAAAAAATTTATTATTTTTATTTCATAAAATTGGGCCTAAGGAAGTGTGTCATCATCAATCATATTTTGATCTTATTTGTTTTCCTTCTATATATTCGTCTGAAATTAATCGTTGATAGTATGCATGGTGAATGTTAGTAAAGTTTGAACTTAACTAGTTATTATTTGATTATTATACAAAAGAAATATTTATTACTTGTTGATAGTACGCGTATGCTACTCTGTGATATGTCTTCATAAGATTGTATTGTCCAATTATTGCATATCAAGAAATCATGAATTTAATTAAAGATGATTTAATATTTTATTATTATGGATACATCTATATAATTTTTGGCCAAGAATATCATATATTTATGTAATTAATGATTAGGGGGAAAAAAAAATTATGGTATCATGCTATTGTTCATTCTTGCACGTACGATCTTTTTTTGGGTTTTTTTTTTTTCCCTTTTGTTACGTACCAAACTGTCCATATAAAAATTGCTCTGTTTTAATGGTGGATGATGGTGGGGTGGAGGTGAGGGAATCGGAGTGTCCGAGCTGCCGGAGATTGTTTTGTGCACGGTGTCAAGTGCCGTGGCACGACGGCGTAAGCTGCGAAGAGTTTCTTGAGCTAGGGAAAGATGAGAGGGAGAAGGAGGATATAATGGTGATGAAGCTTGCTAAGGATAAGTCATGGAGGAGATGCCCTAATTGTAAGATTTTTGTTGAGAAAACTGAGGGTTGTCTTCATATGACTTGCAGGTTAGTTTTCTAATTTTAATATTAGTATGAAGTATAATAAAATATATAAATTCTAATTTTATTTTCAATAAATAATTCAAGTCTTGTTAAACCTAATTATTAATTTAGGTAAAACCTAATTGCTATTTCTTCGATTATTCATACAAATTATTTTCAATTACTCGTAGTCTTGTTTGTTGTGCCTCAACATTTTATTTTGATAATAATGTTGCAATATTGGAGATTCATTTCACCGAAGATCAATAAAAAAGGTAATATAAGAAATGAATATTATCATTGTTTTTATACTACTAATATGTAATATGTAACATATAAGAAGTTTAAGCGTAGAAATATAAATTTATTAATATGTAAGCCTAATATAAGAAGTATTAATTAAACATTTTCGTTGTTATTTTTTTTTCAGGTGTCACTATGAATTTTGCTATTGATGTGGAGATAAGTGGAGTAGTACCCATGCTCATGCTTAATAAGGAGGAATATAACTGTCTATGAACTCTAATCTCTACGAGAGAGAGGGCGATTGGAAAATTTTCATACGTTCTACTTTCAAATTTTCTAGGAGTTGTTTAACATTTGATATTATTTAGTCTTGAAAATTACTTTTCAATGCAATTTTATGTAGTATGTTTGTTTGAACCATTCTTGAGGATTCTAGAATTGGTTAACATTTGATGTTCGATCTACTCTTGATGATTTTAAGTTATATTGCCAATATTTCTAGAGCTTGTATGTCTTTACCTGGCCTGGCCTTTCTTAGTTGATATGATGTGAAGTATTTCAATACAATATGCAAAGGAAGTACTCCGTTCTACAAAGCAACGATCTTATGAATAATATCAAATGGATAGGCATTGGCACTATGTCAAAATGCCTCATTTCATTGTTGGTTTACAGCTAGATATCGAGCCATGCTCGGTTTTTAAATTTATACGGAGTAGTAATTGAAAGGACTTTTTGTGAAAAACTACCTTATATACATCAAATTTTGTGGAAAACTTTCTTATAAAAAAATTGTTGTAATAAACTACCTTATAAAAACTAAATGTTGTAAGTTGCTACCATGTACTTAATTTAACAATGAAAGAGAAGGGGAATAAGGGGTTCTAAGGGGGTTATGGAGAAAGTGGGTGGAAAAACGAGAAAAAATGATTGAAAATGTGTCATTAAATGTCTCTTATTTAATGCAATAATTTGGCAAAAGATAGCTTTTTACAACATTAATTGTTTTATAAGGCAGTTTCTTACCACATATATTGTTTAAAAGTTAGTTTCTTACCACATATATTGAAAATTACCCTAATATAATAAAAGTTACTCCCTTCGTCCTTTATTAGAGACTCACTTCTCTTTATTATGTGAATAATAAATTTTAGAAATAGGCCACTAATTTAGTGACAGAGGGAGTATTTAAGCTTAAGGATAAAAGTTACCCTAAATTCAACAAAAGTGACCTCCGATGTACAGTAAATTACTGTATATCGGATGTATACAAAAGTTTTTCATGAAAATTACGGTCAATTTTAGATTTTTTTTTTTACTATATTTATTCTTTTTGAACTAAATTGCGTTTTTTTAAGTGGAGAATTAATACTACATTGATCTTTATTTTTTTTTAACTAAATTTTACTAAATTTGACTTTTAAAGTCAACTGTAAAAAGTTAACTGTAAAAATCAAATACTTAAATAGCGTTTCCTCAAAACTTCTAAAATCAGAGGAGTTGGAGTTTTTATCCACCATTTTTCAATGTTGAGAATTTGTGGTAGAATGGACTGCTGAATTGGGTCACAGTCGGACTAGAGCGGGTTTAGTCGGGTTGGGTTAGTTTTTAACATCTTAAAGCATATTGCCATGCTACTCAGAGTCACAGAGTGGGAAGCAAATGGATCTTATTTCATCAAGTGGAGCATCACGTACATCCTTCTACTCCACCCCGTATCAATCAACCAGTTAAGTAATTAGATGTTACGCTATTACAATAATTTAGGATACACTAACTTAAGATGACTTAACTCTAAAATAAGAGTTGTTTCATGAATAGTAAAATCTAGAAAAAGAAAGATAATGTACATTATCAAGGCCTATTACCTTGTTCTATAGTTCTGTGCTAAAAAAAATTCAAAAACGTTTGAATTACTCAAAATCCTGGCAAAGATGAGAGGTCTGCAATTCCCCTTGAAAGGTCTGCAATCTTTTTAAGAAGAGCGAGCCTATTATTCCTGACCTGTTCTTCTTCCTGCAAATGATATTTATACGCTGATGTAAATCTTTCAAGTTTACATTCATAGATATTCATCGTTCATCGCATGAAAATAGGTACATACCACCATTACGAATACATTATCGAAGAAATCAGCAAGTGGCTGTACTAATTCCAAGGATGCATTTACAAATTCGTCGATTTCAATACCTATTCAAGGCAAAAGGAATCAAACATAAACTTGTAAGCATTTTTACCAAACAACATGAACTTTGGGGTCTTTTGAGATTAGGGTTATTTTATGTTGCCGGATTAAATCTAGGAGGATCATGTGCATCTCAAAAACTGAAAGAGGGTATGTGTGTTGACATCACAAGGGTCTGGACTACGACACTTATGTATAAAATATATACGACGTATATCGCATTATCAAAAAATTTATGATCATGATCAAGTAACTGAATGAAAAAAAATGCTAAGGGAAAATATAAACTGGTGGAGTACCATGATAAACTTGTTTGTTCACTGACAAGAAAGCAGTCCACAAAGCTCTCTCTTCCTTCGTCTCAAAAACAGCTTCATTCACCTTGAATTTCAGCACAATAAACAATTTCTTAGCAAGAAGGAAACTATTATTATTACTCAAATACAGATTACATAAACACAGCTAAAAATTCTTGTCATATTTTTTTTAGTGAGACAAAGAGATACACTGATATAATTTTATATTTATTTAAAAAAGTGCAGTTTTAATTTGTCAAGTATTCATGTTTACAAACAGCAGTTTGTTTCACACAGGCTCGATGAACCAACTCAAGGTTGAGGTGGTCCATCTAACAAAATTAAAAAAAACCAATCACATGGAATCAACAATATATAGATATGATGAACTCAATAACAAGAAAAGACGTGATATAACCATCAGCCAATCACTTTTACCAGACCATAGCACCACATTCATTTGATGTATGTGATTCTGATTACACCTGGTAAGTCATCAATATGGTCCTTTTAGACGATTCTCCTAATGATTTTAGTTGCATTTTATGTCAGATGGTGATGCACAAAACATGGTCATTCAACTTCAGCAAACAGCAATTTTTCATCCCCCACTTTCTCCACATTGAAAGAGAATACATATAGTTACAATTACAAGTTAAATATCATGCGTCGAAAAAAAAAAGGTTAAATATCACAGAAAATTATCTCTGTTGCATGGGATGACTGCTAGTTTAAGAAGCACACCTCTGTGATGTCATTTAAGTCCTTTCCTCGGACAATTCTTGTTGGCCGGGAATATGCTTCAACAACCTTTGGAAGGAGATCTTCTTTGAACAAGGCTTCCATCTGAAACAAGGCTTTTATCTTTGAACAAGGCAGCAATTTATAATTGAAGAAATTATACCAAATTACCCACAACCACCCATAATCTATCCCACTGGGATAGAATATCAAGGTACATGCAATTGGGAAGATAAAGAGCATGGCAACATTTAGCAAAGAAAAAAATCTACAAACAGGTTGTATAGTCTAACAGAAATTAAAGAAGGAACATGAAGATTAAAGGAAGAAAATGAAATACTGTAACTTATTAACTGGAAAATGATTGTTGATTGTATATAGAATTGTAGATGCAATATGATCATCAATGATTTTGTTACAATCTCAGACTTTCGAGTGGCTGAACACTCTCACTGATCTCTATATATAAAGTATTTATAAGTCTTAACTTCTTCAAGATAATATTAAGAACTACCCCTCCCCCTTAGGCTGGTTGGCCTGGTTCATTATGTACTATTGACTATATTAGACTGATTAACACAGATAATATCTTGAGACTTGTAACCTTTCATTTAGATCAACTGTATTAAATCCTAACGAAGTTATGAATTTCTTTAGACCTTCAATTTATACTGCAATCAGAAGGAAATTTGATCACCCGTCAGGCCATCATTAGAAAAATCCAAAATGCATGATTCCTTAATCTTAAGGTTATCTGCAGCACAAGGCAAAAAGAAATCCTTAAAGAATATGAAATCAAGAAAAATATATGCAATTAGGCAAGGTATTGAGGGGAAAATATGCGGGCCTAAGAATCCTACAGGCTCTAAGACCCCCTTGTCACAATTTATTCAGACTTACTCATGCATGGCACAATCTACTTTCATTTCAAAGTTAGTCAGATGTGAAGGTCATACTTGAAATATAGAAGTAAAATGAAGTACAAAGAGAATAATCAAACAATTGCTGATTCAATAGACTAGTTTGGTCCCTCATACCACTGAGCACAAGGATAGCATTTTGCAACATACTATTCAGACATCAAAATGATTATATCTCAGAAAGAATAAACACACCTTTACTGCTGATTTTGCTGCCAGACATGGCCAGTTTGCACGCTCTGAAAGAACTGACCGGACAACTTCTGAATTTATTCCCCTGTCAACCTGCCATCATAATCCACCCAACATGGACAAGCAATTGCATTTCAGTTAGAATTATGAATGACCATTCAAGATTCCAAATACATAAATGAAGTTGGACATACTGATTTCCTCAAGACATCCCAATTTTTTAATATCATTTCGTTGTTAATTTTGTCTTTATTTATTTTTTGTTACTAAAGAAAATTCTTTTACAAATCAGCAACAAGCAGAAAGTACAAGGACGGAGGACAACTTGGCTTTGTAACAGCAGAAAATTAAATTACAGATTTCCCTGCTGAGCAACTTCTGAAATTATTATTATGTATTTCCCCTACTGAGCAACGTCGAATATTTTCATAGCCCTAGTCCACATGTTATCCGACAAAATATTAGCACTTAAAGTGGTTCCTCTTAAAATTTGCGTATTCTATTTTGACCATTAACACCACATTATCACCTTAAAAGCATTTTGCCACAAATTCTTTTCTTTTGCCATTCCAAAGCCCACAAACTAGACTTGCAGCACATCCAAAACAGTGTGTGTGATAACTAGGTATTCACCCTGCAAAGCAAAAAGCCTCCTCCAAATACCACTTGCATGTCACAAAGAAAGAGACGTATGAGCATGACTGACTATTGACACAACACAACATGCACATATATGGCGAATAATCATTCTTGGTCTTCTTTGGAGAATATCATTAGAATTGATTCTTCACAAAGGTAAGGTCCACACAAGTGCTCTCACCTTAAGAGGAGCGTTGGCCTTCCAAATCAATCTATGAACAGGGAAAAGGTGGTGCTTCTGTGGTGAAAAAAGGCAGAACAAAAAAAAAACTTGATAGAAAAGATGCCTGATCTATCCCCGACCACTTCCAGAATCCTTTCCTCGAAAATTACAATGAGTACATCTATGTCTCTATCATAAGGATTCTTCCATAAATGGAGATCCTAATAATTGCCAGACTGTGGAATGCAAATAGGAGCTTCATGTACAGTGGACTGATTATATTATTGAGTGAAACACCGAATATAGTTAATCCTCTCTCCAAACATCCTCCCAAAATCTAAGCAATTGCCATTCCCTACCTTGAAACTGACTATCAGAAAGACAGAAATGAATTGGCAAGTAGACATACACACTAAGTATCCCACTTGTTTTCGAGTAATTCGTACTTACTCTGGATTACATGAAGCCACAACAGATGAATTTAAATTTCCTAGGAAATGAAGCATGAGCTATTGCTTGGTTGACACTAATATGGAAGTAAGAGTGTGTATATTCTAAGGAAGTTCTATAGTAGAGCTTCCCATGGGAAGTAGAAACTCCAACATCCAACCAAACAACTTTTAACAATTTTTAGAAAAATAATTTCTCATGCACTAAAAATTCCTAGGAAGTATCCATTATCAAACCAAACAAGCGCTAAAGGTGGCCTATAGCTGGTATTAATCATGATCGGAATAAGCTTGGGGATAATTTGACTAAAATTTCCAAGGAAGTATGCAAGTATCCAATGTCAAACCAAACAAGCGCTAAATATGGCCTAGCTGCTTTTAACCTTGATCTAAATAAGCTTGGGGGTTATGTGGCCTGGTGTGGTGTGAAATTTTGAATAGGTCATTCATTTATTTGAGCTTACATTGAAAGTAATCCAGAGTCAGAGAGACTTTCTAAGGAACCTATTATCTTCCAGATGTTATGTAGACTTGATGGTTGGAAAAGGAATGTTTTTCTTTTGGGAGGAAGAATCATGTTGCTTCATCATGCTTATGACTTTTCAACATTCCGGTGGAGGTTGCAAATAAGATGTTATATTGCTTTAGAAAAAAGGCAGTATAATTATAAAGCCAATTTATGCTGAAAATCATAAAGAGAGACAAGGAAAGTTGTCCTTTGATTAAAATAGGCACAGCATACTCACCAGATATTGCTCCAGTCTCCGCGTTACAAATTGTTGTACCTGCAGAAAGGAATCATAGCTTAATGCACATGATTTGTCTAACAATTTTTTAAACTAATGGAGAGAACAGGATGCAACTTAACGAATGAAACTACTATCAAATTGAGAAGATAAAACAAGATCTTTTCAGAAGAATCACCTATGAGATTGAAAACATATAAGTGGCCTACCCTGTCAATTTTAAACATCATTTGAACAGAAAAAGCCTTAACACATGCATGAGGTGTACAAACAGAGCTCCAATAGAAAGAATAGTCAACACCTAGACACTAGAGAGAAATCAATCATAAAAGATACACTCTTACATCATCTATTGTGCTGCTATCAACTTTAACAGGTTGGACCTCAGCAGCAAGCTCCAGAGAATGTCGAAAGTTTAAATCTTTATTATTTTCCACCAATAGTTGCACCTGCCACAACAGAAGTTGGGGAAAGAGATACCTTGAATTTGGTGCGACTGTTTCACTCTCCAAGAAAAACAAAGAACTTACAGATCTCTTACCAGGCCATATGAAATTCTCCGTAGACCAAATGGATCATTTGTGGAACTAGGCTGACAACCCGCCCCAAATAAACCAACAAGGCTGTCCAGTCTGCAATATGAAAGCAACAGAATACAGATGCCGCCAAACTAAAGTGTCATAAAAGTCTTAACATTTTAAACTCAACTTAACAAGGTAAAAACCTGTCGGCTATTGCTAGAACATTTCCAGCATCCGTTTTCGGCAATATATCTCCTGAATGCTTAGGGAGTGTAATCTCATATAAAGCCTCAGCAATCTGTCACATAATTTAGATCATTAAAAATTAGGTAAAGAAAGGATTTAGGGGAGGGGAGGATGTTGAATAACAAAATTGATAAATGTGTAGACAGGCAGCACTCGCAGAAGACAGATGGCACAACAACAAACAAAAACCCCAATTCAAGGAGATCACAAATTAGTTGCCCAAACCAGTTACATATTCTACTAGAAAAATTTAGTGATACAGGTCAAAAGTTAGACCTGCTCAGAGTATCCATCTCTGTAAGCATAATGGCGAGCCATTATTCCTGCCAAAGAAGTAAACTCAGTCACAACAGCAGTAGAAAGATCTGACATAGCAAGGGATGCAGCTTCTTGTATAGTCTGTAGTTGCTCCGATTGAAAACCCATGGATGAGGCTAATTTGGTAACAATAATCTCAACACGCATCATTTTATCCAGCATGGTTCCAAGCTTTTCCTGCATAGGCAAAATCAAAGTTAGAACCAGTGCAACAAAATGAAAAACTCAAAGACAAGGGAAAATTAATAGTCATCAAACCACTGTTTCTCAGGACAGTGGAAAACCAGTGTTTTTGGCAACTCAAAAATATGTTCACATTTGAAGTGCGCTTTAACAGTTTTAAGGGAAATGGCAAGGTAAGATAGTTATGGACCAAAACATTATATGTTGGTTCTTTGCAAAGCTCCTAAAGTATAAGATGGTCCTGCAAATTCTTCCTCAGAAAATTAAAGGCAGAGTTAATTTGCAAGACCACCCTTTTGAGAATTTTTGCAAATGAGCTTAGTTTTGTGGAACATCAAAATCAAAGCTTAGTCCAAAATGGGATTTTCTACTAGTAGCAAGGTGAAAAGATGTTTACTCAATCTATTTAGATTTGGTTGTATACAAATCTAAAGCATTTCAGGGGTTAGAGCTCAAGAACCCAGATAAAAGATGATAAAAAAAAAAAAAAAAAAAAAAAGAAAAATAAAAAAAAAGGAAAATACATGAACTTACTTGGAAAAGAATGCCATTAAGTTGACCTCTAAACTCCGATAACTTCTTTCTGGAATCTGTCTCATAGAAGAATTTTGCATCTTCATAACGTGCTCTGTGGGAAATATACATTTTCAGATAAAAGAAAACATTAATCAAGTAATACAGTAGAGAAATAATAATTTGATTAAAAAAGGTCCATATTCTTGAATCACTACAACAAAAGGTTGCCCAAAAGCTTTTGCTATTCACACCCATCAGCACCTGAGGAAATTAGTCACCTTATTCCAAAGATATTCTTCATTAAAAAAAAAAAACCCAAGAAATTGCTAATAAGCCTTAACAAAAACAAATGCTCCACATTATCTTATTTTCTTTCTCAAGCTCATAACTCCAACTTGCACTAATTCTGTTACATTGCAGCACCAAAAATAAACATTTTTTTCTACTCCTCAAGCAAAGAGCAAAAACGTCTAGAAAGGTAGCAATGCAGGAGAAGACAAAAAGAAAACTACCGAATAGGACATTCTAGGAGGATTAGTAAGAAGATGAAAACCATCTAAAATGCTCTACAAACTGTAGCAAACAACAAGGTCCATAGAGAGAACACTGACAGAAAAGCAGATAAATCTAATATGCACAAATCCAAGGGAGGTTATAAACCTGATCACTGCCTCATTCCCTTTCCTCACAACATCAACATTAATATCCCCATTTGCCACCTGAAACCAACCCAACAAAACTAGTAATCACAGGATTCCATCACATGCATCAACACATAACAAAACAAAAAGCAGATACACAAATATGAGTCTCACCGCAATAAAATATGGCAACAACCTACCACTCTTGTCAGCAATTCCAAAGTATTTCTGATGCTTCTGCATAACCTGCATCATTGGAAGGCAGAAGCTGATAAGGCATGTTTCACCTCCATTCTCTAAGAGATTCCAAAATAGTTTGGTTTCAAGAACAAGATCAAAGCTATAAAAAAGAAAATTTTACTCATTATTGCGATAATAAAAACAGATGCTAGTTTATAACTATATCAAATCTTGACAGCCAGCTTCAGGCTGCCCTAGTAGAGCTAATGTTTTGAAATTGATAAACGGTTATCTTTTTGGAGCTGATTCATCGTGGTAATGTGCCTTTAGTTTTAGGGTGTAAAAGTAGCTTTACATTCACAGGTGTGGGTAGCCTTATCCAAACTCATGTTAAACCTGGCAAAATTAATTCAAAGTTTCACTAATCTGTAAGGCCCATGACTTGAGACCTGAGAGCCATTTATCCTTCAAATTCTTTAAAAAAAATTTAAGTACCAAACATATGCGATGTAGGTAAATTAACATTGGATGTGAGGATATGACGATATGCTAATGCAAAATCTACAAAAAGAAATTGACATCCTCACGACTAACTAGCATACCATTGTTAGTAGATCTTTTGGAAGCATTAGGAAAGAATCATCAAACTTTCCCAGTAATGGAGTGGGTGCTTCAATCAAATTTACAACCTACATGTGACAAACCAATAAGAATCATCTAACTAATAATTGATCATACAAATGATGTGACTAAGCATTGACAAAGCTTATAAAATGCATTAGGGATCAAGTACCTCGTCCAATAAACCAATAGGCATAATTACTTGTCCATTTACAGTATCAGCCAAAGCAGTTGAATGCTCCAATATCACATTTTTACGCTCCTGTAACAAAAGTAATTAATCCTTGAACAAAAATAGCCAGCACACCTTTCCGAAAATCTATGCTCTTGAGGAACAACACGTTATATCTATACATAATACCTCAATATCAACAGCTATGCCAGCATTCTTCATAACAGCAGTGTAGGATTCTGCACTTTCCACCTGAAAACATATCAAGTCAAAATACATTGCCTGTGGGAAACCAAAGTTTGAAGAAGGACAACAAACAAGATAATAAAAAAGAATTGCAGAGTAAATTGTCCACGACCTAAACAGAACAGAGTCAGATTCTAAACACACTCGTTTCTTTTCACACCATATTAACCACGCAAGTGTTTGGCTATTGTAACTGTAAGAGAAGAAAAAATAGTAACTTTTTCAAAATTGCAAACTCACACATGTCCACATTCATGTACATACCTTAACAGTTGCAAAAGGTGTATTACGAAGACCATAAGATATATTTCCACTGCAAAGAAAATTTTCAAAACATAATTAAATATCACAGCATTTAATAATGATCAAATAATAACAGCAAGAATTTTGAAGCAAACTATAGTAATTTCCAGAGAGTTTGCGTGTCACAGCTAATGTGTAAGCATGAGGCGGATTTCTAATAAACAAGAGCCAGAATTGTACAGTAAAATTTTCAGGACATACCATAGAGGAGCAGGAGTATGCATTTAAAGAAACAACATTTTAACTAGTGTCTGAACAAACTAGGGGCTTAAGCCCAAAAAGTGCTAAGCATGTGTATGACCTTATGTGATGACATTTATAACAAAATCGCAGATGATAACATGATGTTTAGCTTGAGAAATAACAGCAATGTGAAGCTCTTGTTCCTAAATATGATGAGATTGCCAATACCAGCTAACACAGGACATTACATAGAGGATTGCAACATCAATGGTAACAGATAAATTTGATCATACACAATACTTTAGGTGTTAATCAGCTAAAACCTATGACAAATAACTGCTCAAGGGAAAAATTCTAATAACAGAGGTCAGAGCCAGTGTTACCTACTTCCCGAACTTCCCCCCCCCCCCAATGACCATCCCACCCCCTGCGAACTGCAAAACGGAAAAACAAAAAAGGCAAACTATACTAGTGAGTTTAGTAATTCTTGGGCCAATTAAACAAATTAGGTAGAAAATTACAAACCTGTTCTGAATTTCACTAATGAATTAGGTAGTACTTATGAGATTTTGGAACAAACAAATAGTCAGGTTAGGAAAAAATGTGCAACAAACTAATTCTCCCTCCCATTGCCGCCGTCTCATGCTTACTTAGAAATCAAGTTGAAATTATAATGAATTAATGATGAACTAAAAATGAGGAGAAGACAAAACATTAGAAAAAAAAATAAAAGACCCCCAATACCCATCAGAAAAGAAAATAAGAGAAAGCTTTATAGAGCCCTATTCACTGCAAAAACCCTTGTTTAATAGACTAAATTTACTCTAAAAAAAATCATGAATTATGAATATAGGTCCTTTGAAGGGTACAATTACAAGTCTAAAAGTTCCTTAAAGGATCAATGCATATGGAGGGCCAAAAAGGGACAGAAGTAAACATCTAGATGAGTAATGCCGCAACATCTGCAGAAAAAAGGCAAAGGCAACTTTGTAGCAAAAATTACTTCAATTACCTGGAAACTCCTGCAAAAGTAAATGGAATGATAACATCACCATGAAGAGCCATAATCCAACGAATAGGCCTACTGAACAAAACCTAAAAGCATATCAAGAAAAATCTGCTCAGCTCACAACCATATATACGTAGTATATATATTTTTGTAATTATTAAAATATGATAATTTCAGCATGTATCAATATAGTTAAGAATAAATGATATATCAATGGAAAAGACATCATAATCAAACATATGTTTGGTCACAGCATTAATAGCATTGCCAGTCCATAGCAAGGAACAAACGTAATGTTTCTCAGCAGTCAGCACAGGTAAAGAAAAGCCAATTTTTTGCACCACCAGAGACTCTTAACCTTTGCTTGGGAGGTAAGGGTTTTTTGGATGTGAATATATAGTGTATACTAATAAAAGAAAAAAAGTAACAGATTTGAAAATCTACTGTATACTAATAAGTGAGTGTAGATCAGTGAATTTTAGTTTTGTTCCATAATAATCAGTTTATTTTATCAACAAAAATAATTTCCGATCAGGACAATCTAAGTTTTGATACGTAGCAATAGATTTTCATAGGTCAAAGCAGTGTAAGAGAAGAGGTCCAATATGGTTAGAGCCATAGGGAAACTGTTTTTACCCCATCCACATCAGACCAGACTGCTACAGCACCAACTTAATCCCTTGATGCCTCATCAATATATACAATGTTACAGTAGCAAGACACTATAAAGAGCTAAAGTGGATTCCTAAGCAGGTTCAAAACCATAAACTACATGCGCGGCTACTTTTTAAAAATAAATACAGACCAATAGTACTTAGCTCAACACTAATCCATAAGACTGGTAATCTTTAGATGCATAAAGTAAAAATTTAGATTCTCAAAGCATGGAAAATCCTATATTCCCAAAGTTCTAGGGTCCATACACTTCATAGTAAACTGACACATATTTCAAAAACATAAACAGATAAAGAAGACCATAATTATGTTTCAGAAATATTCACAGCATTTAGTCAGCACACCACAACCAGTATGCTTTAGGAAACAGAAATATTTGAATTAGCAAACCATGGGGTATTTTTTTTCCCGAAAGTTCATATATGCATACTCCCTACATCCCCAAATATTTTTACACCTTCCGTTATTCTCTCTCATAACATCAACCTTTCTCTCTGGATCTCAACTGACTTTTTTGTTTCTAAATAACATTTAACTACAATTCTTAATGCTTCAGCACCCAGGAGTCAATTGAATTCCAAATAAATTATAGCTGTCAGCACAGCATTTTGCGTACTGTGTCTGTGACAGCCAAGAGTTACACAAAAACATTGCCAGGTAATAAAAATTGACACTATCATGGGAAACAAAAACCTGAGAATTCCAACGCATTGATTTGGGGAACGATAATTTGGCAATGGTTCCGGGGAGACCTTCAGCTAAAACCTAGTGACCAGAATAGTTAGATTAGTTTTTCGAGCAGACCACTGTACTCAAGAAATAATATACTTCGTACAAAGAAAATGAAAGAAATAGATCAGTCAGGAAGCTAAAGTCAAACCTCCAAAGCAAATCTGGAGGGCTCCGTGACACGAGCGTATATATACTGAGTCTTACCTGAAGTAAGAAGAGCATATGATCAGGACCATTATGCAAGAAGCTTCAAAAGAGCCATTTATAGAAGTTGCATCAGAATATATTATCACTGTGCATCAAAAAGTGTTGAATGGTCACAGCTTTATATGGGACGAGTAAGGACTGCAATCCAACTCAACCAGCCAATGCACAATAAACAATGGCTTCCAAATAATACTTTCATCTCATTTCTTTGAGAAGGGAGGAAGGTTGTCATAGACCATAGCAACATGCCCTCGTCTCATTTAGCAATGTACAGATATAGAACAGCTCTTCCAGAAAAAGAGTTTAGGAATGAAATGGAACTATCTTCATTAAACAAGCTAGACATGCAAAGATCTATTAGAAATAAAAAATAGATCCATATGCAGTCCATACATATCAACAATCTAAAGACCGAAATTACCATCTACTTTTTTGTATATGGAGTCCAGAGAAGTATTATATCTACGACAGAAACCCTCAACAGCCTGCAAACAAGTAACCCAAGCATTAAATGAGTGCAAGAATTTAATCAATACATAAAAGAAAGATAAAAGAAAATGAATCATATGTCACAACAATATCAGCTCCACGTCCTATAAAAGATCAAAGTCGAGTATGAAGAGCTGTTAACAGAGTATCATACTAAGGGCATAATTTAGTGCATCACATGTAACTGTTATTCATTGAGCCGATGAAGAAGCATGCTCTAAATAGAGTACATCAAGTAATTAAACAATGAAGTTGAACAGACTCTGAATTTGAGAGCTTAATCTATATGCTTGACTCTCTGTGTGTGTGTGTGTACATAAAGTATGTTTAGCTATAACAATTAACATATTAGAACAAGGAATGTTAGTTTAAGGTTATAAATACCTGAACCAAATTGATATTCAACTTGACGAACTTGTCAATTGAGATTTTGTTCAGCCAGTAAATGTAGAGAAGTTAAGTATATAAACTAGACTACCAGCTCACAGCTTCAGTTGATAAAATTTAATCAACCAAACTCTAAGACTACGACTAAAAGACTGTTAGATATGGCCAATATGGATACCTTTGTTGGATTCCCTTGGCTGTCAAATGCCTTAGAAGCTGGGGGTCCTCGAACCTCAATTTCATTTTCAGCTTGCGTGGCACACAACCCATCAATGCAAACCTGCAGAAACAAGTCAAGTTGATTCAATCTCTTTGGTTCTCAATCTTTATTATTTATTTTTTGGGAGGAGGCAAGGGAGGCAGTTAACTTTAGCTACTACACTTCTGACATCAATTTTTGTTGGATAAGAATAGGAGAAGCTAAACAAGAAAACTGCACATATCTAGTATGCTAGAGATTGGACAGATTATCTTAAAACCAAATCAGCAAATCTGCATTGGTTCAGGATTTTTATTTCTGGTAAGATTGCATAATTCTTAGTGTTGTGATCATCTAGGGATGTTGCCATTCACCTTTCCTAAAGTCATTTAAAGATTCCATATCATACAAACCTTAATCAATTACAGAAATCAAAGTATCTTTTGTGCAGAATCCCCTTGACCTAATACAATAGTCAAATTGTCCCACCCCCTTATCATTAAGGAATTAATTTCTTCGAGGTAACTTCAAGATAGATTTGCCAACACCATCCTCCATTTATCACTCAGCTAGAAAGTAGCTTGGAAAAATCAACCATCCTCCAAACTCTTATAATCTAAATATGCATTTATTGAGGAGTTCCAATAATCAGATTGCACGCATCAATATTAAACTTATTAACCTCTCAAATTTGCGTAGCTTAAAACAGGCAGAGATTTATAGTTTACAATTTGAAGATAAGTTTTTTAAAAATAAAAAATAAAATAAAATAAAATAAAACAGAAAAGGTAAAGTAGTTTTTAGAGCCATACCACCAATCTTCGAGGTGAACCAAATGCCTGCACTTCATGATGGCCCAATCTTTGCTTTTCCAGCAATTGCACAATAAGATCTTTCAACTGGAGACAACAACACATCATTAAAATCACAAAGCCCTACAATATAGAGGGCACTGAGCCATAGGGTAGGACCACTACAAAGTTACAAATGTGTTAACAGTCCCAACACTAAAATCAGTGTAAAATATAAGAGCGCCATGTATACAACCACATGCATGAAGACCAGGAAAGACATCACATGCTGGAAAATTCGCATGTTAGGTTGCAACATTAGTTTATTATTTTCACAATTTTTGGTAATGGAAGGGTAGGATTAACGAAATTAACGTTCGGGCAGTAATCATATTTAAATATTCTTGTCAATCTTGTGCATTGTTGCCAGGCAGCTCTTCTGTAATAATAGATGTTCAGAGAGTATATCAAAGAGTGAGCATGAACCAACCTGCTGAGTTGCATATGATACATCATGTGACGGCAACTCTTCTGTTCCAATTTCAAGGGCAAACATCCTTGGCTCTACAGACACCTATTTAAAAATTAGAAATTTGAATTTTGAATTTGATTTAGAAATTAGGAAAATAAAATTTGAAGCAATTCACCTTAAGTTTGCATTGATGTCTAATGTCTATGTCATAACATCAGATTCAAATTAAAAATTTCACAAGAAACTAAATCAGTAAATAACACAGAGCATGAATTGTCAGAACAGCAAACTATCACCCACATTACTGGAGGCAATGCAAAAGCTTGCTACATTGAATCTACAATAGTATGATGGAATCATTATAGGACTTCCAGACATGTTGATTCAATTGGTGGCAGACAAGAGACAAGACACTTCTAAGATGACAGCAACTTCAACATATATTACCAGCTTAATCCAAATACTTGCCTCTGATGGAAATATGGCTGTTCTACAAAAAGGTTATCAGAACAAAGGAGTATTGTACAGTTTAAGTAACTGGATGTTTCTATAGTTATAAAATTGACTGAAAGCCCTGTTCACTTCCCCTTAAGAAAAATATTCAATAATAATAACTTTAGTTCAGTAAAAATTAGTAGCTTTAAAAAAGAAATATAATAGAAAACCAGTAAATATAATTTCAGTTCAATAAAAATAATTTCAGTTCAGCAAAAATAATTTAAATTCAATAAAATAATTTCAGTTCAACAAAAATAAGGTGAACTGAACAGGGTTAAAAAAAAATCTAAGCCCTAGAATGAATAAGTAAAAAAAGTTCTTGACAATTTGAAGTCTTTTTCCATTATATGTGGTTCATAGAGGCATAACAAATTAACAATAGATGTACCCCATTCCACTAATTTTAAAAGTAAGCCATGTTATTCTTTCTAAACTCCAGCTCCCAAAATTTATCTATGAGCTGGCACAGACAAGAGTAAATGTGACGAGAGCAGCTTTGATGACAAGCACTAAACAAGGAAAAAACATTTCTAATAATATTCTTTGTTTCAATAAATGCATATTACTAATTAGCATTTCCCATAATCTACATTACAAAGGGAACTAAAAAGAAAATCACATGTTCCTTTTCCACTTGAAACAATCAATGTCGAACAACCTTTTACATGATCCCTTCAGAATGCCCCAAAAATTTTACATGCACCATACCAGTCCAATTATTCTATTCCATCCCAAAGATTTCCTCGTTTTAAACCTTAAAAAACTATTCATTAGTTAGATAGAAGATAAGGGCCATTCAGAGATCTATAATTGAGTGACAAAGTTAGCATGTATCAGAAATGGGAACAGGGAAAGTATTACTATTTCTTATGTACTGAAGAATAAATAATGTAGTTAAGAGAAAGGGCCACCAAAAGCAATATGTCAATAAAAGATTTAAAGCTACAAGAAAGATAATAAAAAAGAATCCCAACAGACAGAATCACAACCAGGCTAATCATATTCCACAGTCCATAAATAAAGCTTACCTAACCAGGCTAATTGCTGTACAACATGAAATATCAAGTCAACAAACCCAGTACAAAAGTAAAAGAATGAGAGGACTAATCATGGAAGATACCCCATTCCTCTCAACAAACTCACGCTATATATTAAAAGAGAGAAAAGCACCCAGCCTACTCAAATGCAGACAGATAACAAACAAACTTCTCATGCTTCTACAAAGACAAGAGAAAATCACATCAATAAATAGTAATCCAGATTTATGGATCCGAAAATTTGCTACGCACAATAGAGTGATTTACATTCTACAAACACAATAGTAATGTTGCACAAGTGAAATACATAACCAAACATATATAAACATGACATACTTGCAATACATAAGAACTTGACATGATAATTCAAATGGTGCATCACTGCATGCAATTTATGCCAGCTACAAGCAGATGATCACTTTCCCCTTGTGCATTGACATGATCAGTAATACATATTTGGCTACCAAATAAGACCAAGAAAAAGAAGAATTGCAGTGAACAAGAACCAGAATTTTCCATACATCACGCTTGCTACCTACCTTTTCTACTGCAGACTGGATGACCTCACTCGGACAAGTTATAGGGCCAAGCTCAGCAGAAATGCCTAGAGGATGACCAAGAGACTCTCGTGTCTTCAGCCACAGCTGAGCACATTCACGAGCTAAACTGATGCATTGCCAATAATAAAAATGAAATTAGCGTGAGTACACCACCGAAATAATAATAATATTTTTAATAGCTAGTATAGAGATAAAAATACTGACAACCCTTAATAAATGTTAGATATTATTCTTCAGTTCACCACTAACACAATAACGCAGTAAACAAGACATCCTCATCGAAGATAAGGGAGGGGTGAGGGCAGTAGCATGCAGCCTTCATACTAAAAGCACTAGTTTTAAAATTGTAATGACTGGAGAAAAGTGCATGAAAAAAGAAGATCTTCAGCTTAAGATGATCATAGCCTTAGAGTAAATGGAAGACAGGTCTCTAATTTGACTTTCATATGGAAAGTGGAAAACACTTCATTACTGACTACTATAATCATGTAATGGAAAACATCAATACCGGTTAGCAGGCAATTTCAAAGGCTTTCACTCATTACTCTTTAAAGAAAGGAGTGGAGATAAAAGCTAAAACAAAAAACTTGCAGAAATACTAGATTTTGGGATGAATGAAGATAGGAGACCTAAGTTACATTTCCCCACTGTTATTACTTCATTATTTTTTTCGTATAAGATAAAAGCATTATACTAACACCTCTGAAAAAGGAGCACAATGTTTGAAGAAAATATACTCTGTATTAGACATGAAAGATACTCGACCACTGAACATGATCTGGTACAAGTAAAGCATGGCTAGGAAAAAATAACAAAAGTTTACTCACCTACGCATTCGACCAAAGTAACGAGCTCGTTCAGTTACACCTACAAAGCCCCTAGAATCTAAGATATTGAAAGCATGAGATGTCTTCAGAAGCTGATCATACCTAGCACATTTATAGGCATGTTAATTTTGCTGACCATATTCTTTGTCCAGAATTACGAAATATTTGTACATAGTAGAGGTTTTGGAACATACGCAGGGATAGGAAGGCCCAATTCAAGTAGATGGCGAGCTTCCTTCTCAAAAAAATCAAAATGTTTCTGAATATGATCGACAGTGGCATGCTCAAGATAATAAGCACTCATCTCCTTCCTAAAAGTAAACATCCCATTCAAGCACAAATAAACATAATAGGTCAAATATATAAGATAGTACAGCAAGACACAAACAAAACAAAAAAAACAATAAAAAACAAAAAAAAAAAAAAAAAAGATCAATTGATTACATAACTTAGAAGACTACAATGGTAGTGAAGGTTAGAATCTATCAACAAAATTTATGAAAATGAAGGTGCACAAATGTGATGAATTATCACATAATCAACAAAATTGGTAGAGTAATTATAGAAGGAGGCAAGGCTTTATTATTGACAAAGCTAAATACATCATAGCCTCTATAGTCCCTGCCAACAACATTGTCCCCAATGAATGGTGGTGGTGCTGATGTTATACCAACACCTATAACTCAACAGTAATCATAATAGCAACCATTAATTAAAGGAGTTAAATAACACTTGATAACAATAAGAATACAGTTTGTTATGAAAAAACTCGATGATAATAAAGCACGAGTTTCACAGCTCAAAAACCTACATATACTGCTCCCTCCATTCGTTAATAATTTCCTTTCAACGATATGCATACATATAATGAATTTCTATTACATGCATTGGTAATTAAAGCTAACAATTGATATCGCATTGGAATTTTAAAATAGAAACACTGATTTATGTGATAAATAGACTGAATAGGAAAGATTAGTAAGTGAACTATACTAAGGAACACCATGTGACTTTGAAGACAGATATGACTGGACATGAGGCACGGGATCTGTTAGCAACTTTTACAAATAAAAGTTAACTGGGGTGAATTATTTACTCATTCTCAGAAAACAATTCTCCATATGTGATCCCGTCTGCATACTGTATTTTCTTGAAATGATCAACTTCCTGCAAACAGAGATGGAAAAACTTCAGCAGAAACATATAGACTGGGAATGTGAAAGAATACACCTAGAAACACAGACCTGTAGCAGCATGAGAATTCGCTCTAGACCATAAGTGATTTCAACAGACACTGGCAACAATGGAAGACCTCCAGCCTGAACAAAATTGAGACAAACAACATACGACAAACTGATATCAAAATATGGAGGTAGCCATTTTTTTCATTAAAAAACAATTGAGAGCGAAAACTATCATATGGTAGAGGACAAGTACTCCAGATATACAGAAAGTATAAACTAAAGACAACATGATTGAAGGAAGCCTTTCTTTAAGACCATTGATTGATAATTGAAATGACGTCTGATTTCAAATAACTAATTTGTATTTCTGTTGACTGTTGCTAGAATAAACTAGAGATTGAGGACAAGACTTAATGATCAGTCTGTAAAAACAAGCTTTAAATAATCAGATCCAAATCAAAAGTTCATTATTCACTATACTTACTCTCTTCATTTCTTAATGGTCATATCACTTACTGTAGAATCTTTTTCCTAGGAAAAATTGAAAAAGGTGAGTGGGTGTAAGGAAAAGGAGGATTAAGTAAGAGAGATGTAGTAAAAAGGTCGTGGGTGAAAGAAAAACAAAATGTATAAAGTAGTGGGAAAGGTGTAAAAATTGTGGGAAAAGGGGATAATATGGTATAAGGTGTTTGCTAAAGATAGAACAAAGTAGAAGTGAGTAGAACATTATGAACCACCTCAAAACAGAACGTGAGTAGAGCATTAAGGAACGGAGGGAGTGTATGTATATTAATGAGATAACGGGATGTTCCTTAAAATGAGAAGGATAGATGTGCAACTTTTTTCAGTTGAATGAGCATTTATTAGTACTGAATGTGTATACATTTTATTGAACTGAAAATACTTTTGATTTCTAATATGAAACACTTGTGAACATTCTGTGTACATAAATTTGACAAAATAAACTGTTGCAGATTGAATTCAATAAATGTACACATCAGACATCACATTAAGTTCATAAAATATGCATATTCATTTCAAAAATATGCACATAAAATCCTTCTCATAAGGAAACAAGGAAGAATTATAACCTGCTGGAAGTATGTGAATTGAGTGATCTCCATCCCATCCATCCAAACTTCCCAACCCAATCCCCATGCACCAAGGACCTAAAAACAAGCAGTATCAAACAAAAACAACAGTGAGTATGCATAAGAGACCTCACTGCAGACTTGAGAATTTCATGAATTCAACTAGCAAGTATAAGAGTTAAGCCATTATTATATGACAAGATTATCTCCAAAGTAAGGGTAGGGCTTGGTCCACCAGTGAAAGGAAAAAATTACCGGACTTTCCCAGTTGTCCTCCACAAAACGTATATCATGTTCATTGACATTAACACCTGAAATATGCACCAAAAAACATTAACACCTGAAATGATGCACAAGAATTACTAAAACTGAGATGAAACAATGGAAATCTAAACGAGCACCAAAACAACAACAAAAAACCTTAACATCATATGTCCTATGTTCATGTTCACTATATATCAACAATCAGAAGGTAAGTGTCACACTTCCTTTTTGCCTTTGATAATCATCTTGTGTTTATCTGGGTTGATTAGGTTCAAGTGTTCAATCTCATTAGTATATGTGGCAAGGGATATAAGGATGAAATAGTTTTTAATAAGAATGAAGTAGAGCAATTATTTTTTTTTATATTTTAATCTTTTGATGAGATTGTATAGTGGAGTCCAATGTTGAAAGAGGTCACCATCATCTCAACCTGGTTTTTATACAAAAATATAAAAGACGACTTAAGGACCCTTTTCGAGCTCTAGCTTACCTCACGCGTGCATGATGTTGTTAGCTCAGGAAGATAACAAGCAAGTACAGAAAGAGATACAAAAGAAAATTGCTACCTAAAGCAGATAGGCTCCGAATGAAGAGATCTTGAGAATTTCCAGGATCCGGTTTCAATATAACCTGAGATCAGACTCCAAATAAGAGTATACTTGACTAATTAACCATAGGAAGCAACAGAGTATTTTCAAACTTCAGTTTTTTTCTGGTTTGGATACATTAAAAATAACAGCTATACCTGAAATTGGGTGTGGCGTTGAAGACGGTTTGGATTTTCCCCATAGCGACTATCATCAGGCCGGATGCTAGGCTCTACATAACTTTCCAAAGGAAATTCGTGTCAATGTTAGAGCAACCTACATAACAGATGATATTCAATAGAAAAACATAAACAACTACAACCCCAAAGTTAAAGGCAGGATGCCATGATAAAAGCAAGATAAGCCTCTTAAGGGCATGAACTTATCTTAATACAATCCTTACAAGAAGATGTAAATTGTGAAAAAAGTTATGTCATCAGCAACTGACAAGACTGAAGAAATTCACCCTCTTCAATTTATTGACACCAACATTCAGTATAGAAGGTCATCATCGCAAACATTTATCCAATCAACTATTGTAACCATTTATTTCATAATTTCTCTACATAAGAATAGATTTTTTTTTTTGAAATTGCTAGAAAGGCGTTACAACAATAGGTGAGCAATTCTGAATGAAATATATTAATTAAAACTGACAATCATATATATTATCATGGATAGAATTGCAATAAAATGAAGCAAAGAATTCAACCCTATTCCAAGAAAGTCGTGATCAGAAGATATGCTGTTCCTTTCTACCACAATACCAAAGTAGGGCAAGCACTCATATCTTAAGAGATTCTTCCTGGACAATTAATCAGTAGGTACCCTATAACAAGTGTATCTAGTCCATAGTCAATTTCCAACAAGAGCAAAGTTCAACTGCAACACCCTTTACCCACGCTTTCTAACCCCAATTATGCTATAAGTTCCAAAAGATGTGAATTTAAGCAAACTGCACCCAGACTTGGTTTAAGAGTTGACTTCCTGATCTATTCTCGCTATACACCAAGTTTTGGTGTGGTCAATTTAGGTTGGGTGACTATAGTGTCTATTACCATTTAGCTTATATGGGATGCATATTTTATTTTGGTTCAGGTCGAGTTAGATAGTCCATTTTGAGTTCGGGTCAGGTAATGTAGGTCACATTAGTTTTGTCAAGCATATTGTGTTATTGACAATGCTACATGTTCACATTTGTAAATCTTTTACTGCCACTAGGCAAAATACTTCAAACAAACTCTTAACCTCCACACCTACAGCCCAATGACCCACAAACCCTCATTTATGTTCTCAATGCTTAGCCACCTGCTCCCTCCCCTACCCCCAGATAGAGGAAATAGGGTAAGTTGAGAAGATGGACAGGTATCCCTAAGTCCTAAGCACATATATTAAGCAAAAGAAATATAAATTAAATGATTTAAGTATATACTCCTCAGTAGACTTTGTCTCTCGTGAATAATATATTCAAAATCCAACCATAAACCAAGAACCTCGATCTTCGGGGTTTCAGCTTGTAAAGAGTCTAATTTAAATATTCTAGCAAACATAGTAGATGCATTAAGTCATTAAGACAACCAAAACTACTTCAGCTGTAAGGCGTGCAAAACACATACAACTTCTATTGTAGTAGTATGAGTTATGTATTCATTCAGCAAAGAGAAGAATCTATTCACCTTTTAGCACAAAGCTTGTCTACGATGCAAATTGTATATCCCAGAATAATGGAAGGAAAAGGAACTAAAAACATAAGTAGAAAATAGAAAATGATAGAGCACTTTGTACCACCTAAGCCCAAAAATAAACCAGAAAAAATAGAAAAATATTATTAAAATTCTTGGAGTTGACTTACGCAACATTCCATGGCTCTGGACCAAGGACCCTCAGATATGTCAGGGGATTCATCGTCCCAGCTCCGACCTGAGAAATGCAAGAATCTCAAAGATGTATCTCAAAGGCATTATAGAAACCGTGCAACATCATTAAGCAAAGGAAAAGAGGAAACCTTACACCAACAATTTACAATTAATCTTGCTCTCATTTGAGCAAACAGCAATCAAGGTTCACAAATAACAGGGCAGGTAAGTTTTAAATAGGACTTTCTATAAACTACCAAGTCTGCATATAGATGAACTAGAATTGTGCTGAAATTTCATAATCCATAGCATGCACAAGTGCAAAACCACACAAATAAATGACACATGTAATTCATAAAAGCTTGTCCACTAGATGAAGAATAAATGCAAGTAGGAGAGAGCCATTTACACCCAAAGAACTTGGCCAAATCCTTCAGATTTAGGGCATTGCTAGCTTGAATCAATATAATATTCTCAAATTTAATTAGTAACTAGCCATTATTCAATCTAGTAAGAGACAGCATCACAAGAAGCCTAAATTACACTCACGGGATCTGTTAAGGATCACAGTATCATCCACTAGAAGTAGATCATAAAAACTATATGAAGTGAGTGGACACAGCCAGCTTGAAAGCCATCTATGGAGTCCATACTTGTTACTTTTTACACCATATTGTTAAAAGACTTCACCACCAAAATACTATTGGTGAACATAAATCTCCATTACATAAGCCTCAAGAAAAACAGTAAACGACCCACTTCATTTGCTAGAGGAACCAGTTATAGAGTGCGAAGAGAAGCAAATGCTCTCAACGAGGGGATAAAAAAATTTAAGAAATTAAATCAAAGGAACTTCCACTACTCAAGCCATTGGGAAATCTTGCAATAAAAGCTCACTGATATTTGCATGTCCCCTGAACAAGTCCATCTCAAGTCCCTTATTCAAATACTATATGCATATGTTCACCAAACAACTCCATCTCAATGTAATGTAGTACACCAAAGAGAGAAATGAAGCCTACTAAAATCCTATAGGCGCTATAGCCAACATCTCATAACCCATAAAAATACCCAAAAGGAACTTAATATCTCGTTGCTTGGCAAAACCATAGTAAATTAAGAGATATCCCAAGAAAAATATTAAAAGTCCTTCTAATTTCAGGCTATTTATGGCCCACCACTTCTCATTTTCCTTATCTAATGCTTTTACAGCAACAACCAACCCAATGTGGTAGTGTCGATCCAAATGTATTGCACACACCTTTAACTCATCCAAACATGTGTAGAGAATATTTAGAAAGAGGAGTAAATGATGTTAATGAAAATTACTCGATATACCATAGGCTAAGGGTGTCCACTTTTAACACACACAAAAGGGAAGAGGGAAGAGGAAAAGAAACAAAGAGGCACTTCAGGAGAAATTACAAGAGTTGAAAGATCACCAACCTTGAGTATAGGGTCAACCACATGAATAGTATACGTGTTAAGAGTTTCCTTAGTATAGTAATGTGAAAGTAAGACATGGACATAAAAGTTGGTGCAAACAAGTCACGTGCTAGTAAAGAGCCAACAAGCACCCCTAGACCCCCAGTACGAACTGCCACCTCAAACAAACAAATTTAGTATAGCTCGCTCAATCAATAAACACTTACTTTGCATTTAAACACAATAAATAACAAGTAACAGATCTACATTGACTATATATCACTCCTCATGCAGCACCTGATCATCAAAGGTAAAGCTACTAGCAACATAATCCGGAATGTAAACCGCATGTTGAAGGTGGTGAAGTAAATATACAAATGCTGCAATGACTTGCCCAAATAAAATATAGCTTTCATAAGCTACAAACCTTTAAAAATAAAAAGAACCATAGAATGTAGGATATTTTTGATTTTAACACCTGACAAAAGCATGAAAATGGTTTTTAACACCCCCCAAAAAAAAACTTTTATTTTAACACCAGACAAATGTTACGAAAATGGTTTTTACCACCACTTAACGGTTTCCGTCCAAAAATTCCGTTAAGTGGGGTCCACGGTGACACGTGTCACCATTTTACTTGTTTTAAAAAAAAATTAAAAAAAAAAAATCCTAAAACTACCCATCCACCCCAACCCACCACCGCCACCTTCTTCTCCACCCTCACCTAGCGCGGCCGCCGGCGCATCCCTCCCCCTCCGTTTACCCGACCCACCTGAACCCTCCCCTTCCCTTTCCCCAGCCCTAAACCGCCTTTAGCACCGCCAAACGCCCAAACCGCAACCTTCCTTCCCCAAAACCGGCGACGAATTCAGCCATTAATGGCTGAAATCGACCGGTTTTGGGGCTGAGTGGCCTTAACCAGCCGATTTCGGCCATCAATGGCTGAATTCGTGGCTGTTCTTGGAGTAACATCCATAAATAGCAAATCGAAATTTGTGGCTGGTGATGGCGACGGAGTGCAGGTGGCGGCTGCAGGTGCGGTGGCTAGAGGCTGCAATTGTTGTGTGGCTGTTCGGTCGGTTATTGGTGGCGATTGGAGGCTGGTGCAGGGCTGCTATTGGGTTTATGCGTGAGGTGATTGAGAGGGGGGGTGGAGCTGCTGTGATTGAGATGGTTTAGGGCTGCGGGAAAAAGGTGGGGATGGGTTTAGGTCAGTCAGTGAGGGAGGGGGAGGTGGTGCATCGGTGGCTGCGTCGGCGGCTGTGGGTCAAGGTGAAGAAGAAGGTGGCAGTGGTGGGGCGGTGGTGGGGCTAGGGTGGCTGGGTAGTTTTAGGTTTTTTTTTTATTATTTAATTTTTTGTTTTTCTTTTTTTTTCTTTTTTGGCCAATAATAAAGCGACACGTGGCTCATGACCCCATTAACGGATTCCTAAACGAAATCAGTTAAATGGTGGTAAAAACCATTTTTGTAGTTTTTGTCTGGTGTTAAAATAAACCTTTTTTTTTGGGGTGTTAAAAACCATTTTCATGCTTTTGTGAGGTGTTAAAATCAAAAATATCCTAGAATGTATTAAGATTCAATTGTTTATTTTTATATATAATTTGAAATAGCATGTCTATCAAACTTAATAAAATTCATCACAGGGAGAACGAGTTACATCTATCGTGAATCCATATCAATTGGGACACCCAAACAATAGGTATTAAACAAAGAAGGTGCAAACCGCAAAAGGAATCTGCTTTTGTACAACAAATTAAGAAGATCACCTCAGTGTTGCTGCATTGCATAACTGTACACCCAACAGAGGCCCAATACTCCTGCAGGTACCCAAAAAACAAAAAGATATGAGACGATTACCAGTCATATATGAATGGAATTCAATGTCCAATCAGGAGGGAGCAACATACAGTTATACACCCTTTGATCAGATCATTATTTGATTTAGATAACTACTTAACCCCAAAAGATAAAAGCACAAATGCTAATTTTGATGTCAAAACCATCACCCGAGAATGTAACCCATATCGAGTTCGATGTCATCTCTTGGGTACCAAAAACCAATACTTGTATATTCTAACTAGATTGAAAACAACAATTTACATACTAGTAAACGACTCCCCCTCCATTTTCAAATGAGCTTCTTGTTTGACTTTCATACTCTTTTAAACATAATATCATTAAATCCATAAATTGAATATCACACATTGCAATGAATCTAGCAAGAACTAAGTCATAAAATTTAGAAAAATACATAATGGCAAGAATTAAAGGTCAAAGATATAAAATTTTGATCCAAAAGTCAAAGGAAAGAGAATATGAAATAAACCTGAAGACGCTGAATAGCTTGTTGGAAAGTGGGCACAGAGGCAGTACAAGGACCTGAACTGGGGTCACCATTGTCGGAAAAATTGTGCCGCAAAGTGGAAGCGCCAACACTAGAAGACGCAAAAAAGCGACGATTATGGGGTTTAAAGCAAAAATGACGAGTTGGGTGAAAAATGAAAGAGAAATTCTGGGGTTTATAGTTATGGGGTTTAAGGACTGAGATTACTAATGGGAGTGTGAGAATCCCCATTTGTTACTTGTAACTTGATTGAGGAATTTACAGTAAATGAAAGAGTTTAGTTGAGAAAAAGATTTGATTTTTCTGTTAATGGGTATGATTTTCCGCCATTGAAATAGAGTTTGAGTTCTTTGAAGGTTTTAAATTGTGGATAAATGTTTGGGTTTTGGGTTTTAGGGAAGGAGAGAAAGAGAGATAACGAGGGAGAGGTGTAAAAAGGGTGCACCACGTTTTGGAATGGCTCGGGTTGCATAGTGCCCCTGCCCCATATCCATCCGGATGATATGTTAATGTTTGCTTGTCCCATTGGCCGGATTACCTCGAGTTTGTGGGTTCGAATAGTTTGAACAGGAATGACTTCGGGTCTTAAGCAAAGAAAATTAGTCCGGTGTTTTGATCAGAAAAGATATACTTTCTTAATCTTCAATCTGATTCAAAACCCTTAAAGAAAACCCATTTTTAACGGAGGGAAATACAAGTTGATAAGGCTGAGAAACGAAATAGGTTTATCAACCGTTAAATGTAACTATAGGGGTTCACCGATTTTCGGGTCAAGGAATGTTAAGGTGAAATCAGATTTCCAATATAAGGCCTGAAAACGTTCAGAATGTACAACAATATTTGAGAAACGTCTGGAAGGTTCTAACAATTTCTAGTTAACTCTTGTACATATCCGTAGGCTAGATTTGCGTAGAACTCTTCGGAGTAGGAAATCTGAACACTCTAGGTCTAAACTTAGGAGCCCTATCAATAGAAAGCGCGCCCCCTCATTTGCAAACCATCCAAACAAACTTGTAAACACACACTCTTAAGCAATACACAGTACTCTTACACACTTGTGCATCCATCTTTGCTTCTTTACTTGACTTTCGTTGATGTTAATAAGCTCGTGTGCAAAAGACCAGAGGAGTTAGACTGATAAGCAAATTATTAACCGAGGTTGCCTCTTTTCCAAGACAAATTTTAGTTTAAAATTATTCCTAAATTCGTAAAATTGATTCATTTTCTTTCTCTTTATATATATGTTAGGAAAATTAGATATTAAAATCGATTTGATATAGAGCATTAGGATTTCCCAAAAAAAAATCAACAATAAAACTTTTTTAAAAAACTCCCCATACAATCATAAAATATATATATATATATGTCAAAATACAAATACGAACTATTCTTTTGCTAGTAAAACAAATTCTATATCATCCACAAATTCTACGCAAACAGTATTACCACTTAAGATAGAGAGGGGTTTAGAGAGAATGAAAGGATACTATTAATTTGCATAATCAACTTATAAAAATTTATAAGCAAAATACACCAATCTACGTAATTAGTTACAAATTAATTTCTAACACTATTAGATGTAAAATTAGGCTAACTAGTTGTTTAACAAAAATACTAGATTGATACACTTCAAAAGTCATCAACCATTAAGTTTATGAAGCTGTATTGTGCATAAGCATATAAAAAAAAATTAGCTTTTTTTTTTTATTTTAGAAAAAACTATTTTTTTGCTCTAACTGTTTTTGCTGAATTTTACTATCTTTTCACTAATTCACCTGGTTCAATATGTATTCTACCGCACACGTAATTTTTCCATGAATATATACAATTTAGAAAACGAGCAATGCCAATAAAAACTTCTTATCTATACACAAATGCAAAATCTGGCTGCCAATTTAGATTCAGGATTAATATGATTCAATAAAAGATGATACAATTACAATCTACAACTACCAATCCGAATATGAAATATACTCTCTGCTATTAATAATTATCACTTTTAATTTTGCTCGTAATCTAATTGGCCAACAAAGACAACAATGCACCCGGAACAAATTGCAGAATTGGTTAGCATTCCACATTTCCACCCCAAAAAATGGCCTGTCAAAGAGACCTATGCCTCTGGGAAGAAGAGACAAGTATAAGCAATGAAATCCATCATCCTCTATGATCCTGCCACCACAATATTCTTTACTTGTTTAACTCTCTTAAAATCTAGGGGATAATAATTTTTTTCTACTTCCCAAGCAATTTGAGACATCCCATTGAATGTTGATTTCACACCCTTCTCATCGGTCACTTCCCTAGGGAATGGAATCCGAATCTCATACATTCCACTTGGAGGTGAATACAGACGCATGTCGAAACCCAACCTATCAACCCACACCATTTTTGCCTCTGAAACCTGCAGAAAAGCAATTATAATTAAACCAACACGACACAAAACTTAAATCCATTACTGAGAGACGACAAAGGTACTTCTACCCCTCAAATCATGTTCACTCCATCATTCCAAGAGAAGTTATTAAGAGCTACAGCGATAAACACAAATTCTCATAAACCAAAATCATCTACATTCAGCTGATACTGATATATCCTATCCCTCTATCAATTTGCACAAACACTTGACACACACCTTGAAATAACAGACAGCTAGAGAGACCGAACGATGGCAATCAGGTTGAGTTGAGATTTACATGAGCACAAGCATAAAAGCTGCCATCGAAGCATATAAGAAAGGTATAAAACACCACTAGACACAGTTAAAATTGGGTGGAGAAAACTTCTTTAGTTGGCCAAGGTAATTAAGATTTAAGAATGAAAAAGATTATAAGATAGGCATCTCCCCAATCACACACAGATTCCATGTCCTCTCATTTCCCTATCAGAACTAGGATATATGAAGATTCATGACCGATCAAACTGAATTCCAGATATACTATTCCGATAGACAATTGTATCCCATACCTTTTACCTCAGTGCTCCGTCACTATTCAAACTGTACAGTGTACACAGTACCAAAGGTCAAAACTGATAAGATTCCTGTTACCTCGTTCATTTCAAACCAACAAAAGCGAATCTCAGTCCTCACTCCTCTTAAGACAAATCAAAACCTAAGGAGACAACAGTTGCACACAGACCATGAGATCAATAAACTCTTGAAAAGGGAATAGCTTATTGAGGACTTTTTAGCAATAGTCTAATGACAACAACCTATCTATGTATGTGTTGGATACAGCTACACCTGATACCTCCACTTATGCATCCAATGTAGAAGCCTCATCGGAGGCATACGATTAAAGATTGAGGATTGAGGACAGCAGCCACCTTTCAAGATCTCATACAAGATACTTGGGACTTAGTAGTACTCAAGCACGGTATACAAAGTTACAAATTATACACAAGCTTTTGTTGTTGGGATACTTTTGTTATAGGCAGTAGAACTCAAGTATTTTTAAAGCATAATTCAAAAGACTATTAAACAATAAATAGAAACAAATTGAATTTCATGCAAAGGCAAAAGAACCAATCTCCCTGCAATTACACAGACATAATCGCAAAAATCTAGCATCCACGTGCCCAAGTAACCAACTAAAGATATGTAAACCAATTATGGGTTCAAATGATGTACTTCATTTCACTTGTAAACTTCTCACCTCTTAAAGAATGGTAGGGCCATCGTTAAAACATAACTTTAGAATGGGAGCGAAGATATTTAAATGGAAATGAGTTATTTTTGTGATAATAACTTAAGAAATACTAGGATGACCTAATAAAGACTAGCTTGGAATTTTTAGACATACCAAGTAAATCACATAGAGAAGTCACCAGAGGCCATAGCATGAAATGGCTTGGCAACTATGTGCAAGTAAATGATATGGTCAGAGGTAAAACACTCTCCACTGAGAAGTAAGAACCAACAGGTAACTCTTGTATGTCATGATTGTCATCTCACCCCTTTGACAAGAAATAAGCTTCTTGATATGTTAAAATTTGACTTAGACAAGGGATTTTTTTTAAGCATTATGGTTAGTCACCGAACAAGCTACTTGTTTGGGTGAATAACACAGTATAAAAGTTCTTCGGAACTGAATAATTGCACATTAAAGACAAGTTTTGTATTTTCCTAGGACCACCATTCCACTTCTTTCACTTTTGGGAAGAGAGGGTTCACTTCACATGAAAACAAATGTTGCAATGCAAATATGTGATTCTCTCAAGGATCCAGCATATGGAATAGGAAGATACCTGGAATTGCAAATCTGCATAAATGCTGCAAAAGCGAAGCACATCTTCCATGTTGTTTGCATTGATCTCAGTCACAACCTTTTCTGCAATATCTCTTAGAGGATCTGGGTATGCATTTTTATAATCTGAAGATGTAACCCAAACACCATCCTGCAAACATAATGAGAAAAGGTTATGCATCTTAAAAATTCACATATGATGACATGAAATCCTCCATATCAAACTCCGCTTGGCGCTTACTATACAATGTTTACAGTCCCAAGGAAATTAAGATACAAAGGTACAACCAACAATAATATGACCCACCACACCTCCTGAAAATCTTCTAGCTGCAGTATGCGGTCCACAGAGACAACATACAAAAGGTCTTCATTAATCTCTTCCCCAAATCTCTTTTTCCACGCTGAATGAAGCTTCTGCAGGATCAAACATAGCAAGTTAGATAGAGGTGTCACCTCCAATTTAACAGTGAAACGGAAGAGGTTAGGCAAAAATTATAAGTTACCTTCACTGCCGTTTTGTCATCGGGTTTATCCAGGCTACCTTGTATAGTACACTGTGGAGTCCTCAATCCACATTGCGGTAGCTGCATACATATGAAAACTCGTCATCCACTCATCCTCCTATTACAGTAACAAATAACCACACAGCATAAACTCCCGGCACCAAATTAACTTTTGGATTCCATCATTTGCAAGTCAATCGGCAGTACATATCACACCTAACATAGCAAACCTTTCAGTGCTTCCAATCTTCTACTTATCCTAATTAAAACTTTTCACCTCCAACTACCTACCATTTAACCAAAAATCTCTAACGAAAACCCACCTCAATTCAGGTTGTTGATTACTTGATCATGCAATTCTAAGTACTAATATCAAATTCCATAAAAACCAGTTACTTTACAGAATTATCACCTTTGCTAATCAGATAGATATTTGGATAAATAGAAACAAAATCATGAACCAACCAATCTAAATTCAGCTAATAATTATCTCATATTGCAAAACCCATAATTCAAAATTGAACAAGAACAAAAATAAACCACCAAAATCTGAAGAATCAAACACAAACCTGAACATGAAGAGTGGACCTTTTATCGATAGAAAAATGTCGATTAGAGAGATTAGTGCACAAAATAGGGGTACCATCAGAATCAACAGTAAAACGAACACCAATACCAAGGGGCCAACCATCATGGGTCAAAGTAGAAAGAGTCCCAGATGAAGATAACTCCATTATAGTCCTTGAAACTTCAGCTGGGTAAGGTTTGATTTGGGTTGTTGTTGTTGTTGTTGATGATGATGGGTCTGAAGCTACTGAAATGGAGGAGCATTTTAGGGGGGATTTGCGAGATTTAGGAGAGAAAAAATTGAGGGGTTTTGAAGATGATTTGAGTTTCTGGGTTGGAAGATAATTTGAAGGGATAATGTGGGAAGAAAGAGATTGAGTTTGCAGTATCATTTTTGCAGAAATTGAGGATTACTGGTTAAGAAGGTTGAACAGTGGTTTTGTTCAAAACTAGATTTTGGATGTGATGAATTGACGATGATGAATTTTTCGAGCCCTTGACATATCCCCTGTATTTTCCGGAATCACTCCAAAATGTGCGCATCTTAGCTTATTATCGTTACTTTGTTGTAGTCTTGTAGGGACTAGAGAGAGCCTCAAACGAAATAATGTAGACGAGATTATGAGATTCGTTGATATAAATTTACGGAGTACTCGTATTAGGAGAGAATCGTTTTTTCATTTGGAAAGAGTAAAAGAGGGTAATAATGTACTCGTAGTAAAGGTTGCTAATCTTTGATACCAACTTCGGTACTTAATTTACTAATACAGTAAATTAAGTATTCTTAATTTGCTATATTCTTAAAGCATACTTATAAATTAGGAATGACGTGTATTGTTATTAATGTTATTTACCAAAGTCATATATAGTACTCCATTAGTTTCAAAATATTTTCAATAAAACCTTTTGATATGAGTTTTATGTAAGATACTTGTACTCCGCATTAGGGAAGATAAATGGACAAATTTATCAAAATAACTTTTACATTGATAAGAGGAGGGATTGAGTTAAGATTTTAATTATTCTATAACTTTTAAAAGTTATTCATTAATTAACCTCACTCATTACTTCCTTAAAATGTGTCACGAGGATGTGTTGCAAACTTGCAAGTAAAAAGGTAGAAAATACTTCGTATTATATTGACTTCTTCGTATTGTATTACGAAGTATATTTTTATGATTATATTGTTCTACTTTTAGAGCATCATAATAGGAGAGGACCAGTTGAGCCTCAAGAATCAATTTTCTGAGGGTATGCGGTTGCTGAAATTCCTAGGCAAATGATCGCTTCATATGATTGGTATGCAAATTATTTTCAAAAATGTTATCAACAATAAGTCATGAATTTCACAGCTGAAAACTTTTATCAGGGTTATTAAAATACATAATACAATTTTTATTGAGGTTAATTATGAAGTGTGGACCACCATATTTCTTAACCAAATTGTGCTGAAATACATTTAACACTGGAAATTAATTTGTTGATATGTTTATACTTTGGTATCACTACATCAGGAGGACTCCAGTTAGGGCGGCAGAGAGGATTGCTATTCATTTGCTTTGAAGCAAAAATCTGGTATGACATAGTAGTATATGCTTTGTAGTAATCATGAGTATTTATGGCAACATAGAGTCAATGGCGAAGATGGGAAACCTGCCTCAGAATGCAGGCAATCAAGGTGGCCAAGAACAAGGGTGATCACCTTTGGAGCAAAAGTACAGGACAGTTATAATATACAGTAATCAAGAGTCAATTATACCAAAACAGATAATCTGAGGTTGCTATTAGTCAAGTCACTTGCACAAGAACCTGCAATAAGAAACAGGATCATATAATATCATAGAGGGAGAAAGAAAGGGGGGAATTGCCAAAGGCAGACACATCAAAATGCCACAATTAGTTTATCTAAAAGTAAGCACAGAGTAATAAGTTGTATGTTGAGTTGTGGACTTAATCAGGGGAGATGTACTCTTTCATTGTGCTTTGAAGAAATTGGAGAAGAGGCAGAAACATTGAGATGGTCAACGAGGGAAAGGCTTCAACTTCCATAAAGATGCCATTTGGTTTCCTATGTGAGTGGTTGAGTACAAAAAGATCAATGAAGTTTATTAAGAAAATATTGGCTACTGATTTCAGATGGGCATGATGAGTAAAAAGGATAAAGAAGACCCAAAAATTACCTTTTCAATTGGTTTCACTAAACACATGACCCCCTTCTGCCCCACTAAGAATCTGTCCCGCCCTGACCTGACCCTTTAAGATCCCGACCCTGAAATAGATAAACTCGGGTCTGACCCTGTTACATATGGGCTGAAATACGGTCATAACTAGGGCCCTGCCCACTGAAAAGGTCTTTCTAAGGCCTAAGGCATGTATTCTGCTCTAGAATGCTCCCAAACATGAGGACTCCACCCCAATTACAGGAGATAAAACATATAAACATATCCCACAATCTGCATCCTATTAAAACTTGCAAGGGCACTAGTCCAGTAGTCCCTGCCAGTAGAGAAATCACATCCTGAGCTCTCGAGCTACGATATAAATAGACGTAGGGCCTTTATATGGTACAGTTTCAGTCATAACTTTATAAGACAGTTTGAAGGCCTCCAGGTAGAATACCTACATGGACTACATCTCAACTGATGTTAGTGACAAGAAACCAAATGTTGGTGCGTAAGGGGGATGTTAAAGTTCTACACATTTGACAAACCGAAAAAAATTATCTGTTTGTATCACACACAGGCTACACTAAGAATAAAATGAAAAACTCAATGACAAAGAGCATTCGAAAACACGATGAACATCAATCATCACTTGAATGATTTACATAATCAGAATATTTGCAACTTGAGCATATTCTGAAAGCTGTAGAAACTATAAGCCTGATCATTATTGAAAGGTTGTCAAAGAAACATAAACTTTGCAGAACCTCTGTTTATAACATACCAAACAAGGCAAAAACATCAGGCTACAATATTAAACATCTACATTGTACATTAGGCAAATTTCATTTTCCCGGCCAAATTTATAGCTTTCATTCAAACAACCAAGATGCAGTAAACAAAAATAGCAGTACAGCAGTAACTCCATTAACTCGATCAAAGTCGAAAAAAATTATCTAATTCGAAAAGACTACCTTCTGTCATTGCACTCAACTAATTCATCCTCATTCCATGATCACTTTAGCTCCAACAGCTTTCATCTTCTCGATAATCTGCTCAGCTTCCTCCTTAGGCACACCCTTCTTAAAAATCGACGGCGTCTTCTCCACTAAGTCCTTAGCTTCCTTCAATCCAAATTCAGTAAATGCCCTAATCTCCTTAATAACCTTAATCTTCGAAGCCGCTTCGAATGATTCCAATTTCAATTCAAACACAGACTTCTCTTCCTTCTTCTCCTCTTGAGCATCCCCAGCAGGCGAATTCGCCGCCACTTGAGCTAACCCGGCAGCTGCCCTAGGATTCAACACCCCAATAACAGGAACTTCATCTTCTTTCATCCCCATTTTCTTCATCAAAATTGTCCCCAATTCAGCTGCTTCTACCAATGTGAGAGAAGAAACCTCATCAACTAGCCTAAAAACACGATCACTTGGTGGACTACGGTGAGATGTTGGATCAAATTTTGAAGGGTCATAATCTGCTGGGAGTTTTCTGGGATCAATTTCAACTTCTTCAAATTCCTCTTCTTGTAATGCAGGTTGAGCATAAGTGCGATAAACCCAAGTAGAATTAAGGTTTTTTGAAGAAATTAGGGATGAAATGTAGGGTTTTGGAATTAACCCAGTTGGGATTTGTTGCCTTAATCTCAAAAATAAACTCATTTTATGATATCAAATTGTAAGATCTGAAGAACCCTAATCCCTAATTTGCGATTGAGGAGAGAGAAATTCGGTCGGAAGTATGGAAATTAGGGGGATTGTAACATTGATTTGAAGAAATGGGTACTGGTAATTTCTAGCAGAGTGACAAAGTTGGTGAAAGTTCACAAAGTAAAATGGGGGTTAGAAGAAGACGATGCCCTAAACCCTCCAAAAATTTTGTTGGATTTTCATGAAGCTTGGATATGTCCCCCTTTTTTTTTTTCCTCACTCCTTTACGACATTTTCTTTGTAAAATGGTAAAACATAAAATTGCATAATGCATTTTAATAATTAATTTTTTTTTATATAGGTAAGTAAAAAAGACATAGGACACCTTACTCGCGAGGGCGATTCCTAATGTATCAGAAGAATGAATAGAAAACAAACTAGAAGTATTACAAACCTCAACATCCATACTACAAGATACTACATGGCCACATTAGCTATCCAATCCCCTGCGTGATTTGTCTCTCGGTAGACGTGTTAGATACTTCAATCGCGAAACCGAGAAAGGAGAGAATGAGTGTCTTGGTAGTATGTTCAATCTGCCAAGATAATTCCCAAATGTCTTTTATTTAGTTGATGACTAATAGGTGCCACATTGAAGAGCTAATTGGATACCTTTATAAAGAGTTATAGCTTCCGCTATAATTCTTTTGGCATTATCGAGGTTGAACATAGATGTCTTGATGAGTGCTCTGCTGTTATCTCTGATGATGAGTTTGAAGAAGTTGTTAGGAAACATGTTATATGACATAAGAATGGATGATAGGGATTATTGAGTATGAGAAGAATGATTATAGGATCTCGGAATGGGAGATCCCATGGAGGAAAATTTATTTATGAGACTTTTTTGGTGCCACTCATTGAACCAAATTGTGCTCGGTAATAAAACTTAAATATGTCAAAGGTTTCATTACGGAAGATAATAGCATTCTGCTCTTTCCAAATACTCCAAATGAAGAGGATAAACTTTTGGGTGTTTTCTTAATGTTTTGGTTAATTTTAGAAATGAGGTTGAGCGATCTAACAAATTTTTTGATAAAGGGGAGGTTCCAAACTTCTTTGGTTCTAGTGTAGCTAAGAAAGATGATCAACTGTTTCATTTTGCTGATTGCATAAAAGGCAAATGTTGAACGGGATTATGTTCTTTAGTGAACAAACACCTAAACTGTTATGAAATATTTGCCAAAGGAAAAATCTGAAGTTTATTAGGGATGTCTATTTTCCAAATCCATCTATAGAGCCAATTGTTGTCTTCAAATTTGAGACTATGAGCAAGCCAATTGCCTAATTTAACTGAGAAGTTTCCATATGTAATGAGCCCCCAAACAGGGGTGTCCATCATATCATTGAGAGGTAGTGGAATGCCCATAATTTGGGATGTACTGAAATGTTTTAAGGAAGAAGAGCCCTAAATTTTTGTCTATCCCAAAGTGTTTTTTCCAATAAAGTTTACAAGATTGATGCTTCAAATGCAACCTGGCTCAATCAAGCCTCAGAAGACAAAATGGTAAGCATGAACGTTTGTCAATGATAAAAAAAAAACTGACAGAATTGCATATCAATCAAGCATGAATCACTGGAGAGAGGCCATACATGAAGGTTGGAAGGCTACATTGAGTTACAACACTTACAAGGTACAAAAAGCAACAAAATTGATGCCTTTTGCAAGGGTGTAACTGTGTAAGTAGGTTTCCTTTGTATCATACAATATAAACTTGATATTGACACTCTTCATTCAACCCACATTCATCACAACAACCTTCATACAACTCTGAGATGGTCAGCATGCTCAAGGGTACGAAGAAACAGATAAAAAGCTGCAGTTTCTACAGGCGGATTTTATCCAGAAGCAACAATCTTTTGCCATCAGAGTATCCAGTATTGCTGACATCTAGCTATCATCTCCATTAGACACAGTATAATCTTTCACCATTAAGATTTCACCACAAAGTTTCTTGGGTATTTGTTCCAATGCTAGGCCCTCCTGCCATACCTGTCCAACCATAACCCCAGGTCCAAGATGACGGACATATATGACAACCTGATCATTGAAGGGCCATGGATGTTTTGCTGCAAATAGAAAGAACCTCAAACTTAGCATTGATTTTTCAACATGCAATACTCAGAAGAGAAACCATGCATTGAGCAGTAAAAGAGATTATATCTGTTAAACACATGAATACATGATCTGATGATCACCAATTGCTTTGCTACAGAACTACACAATATAACAGAAATGCATTCAATCTAATGAGCGGTTCGAAATAGAACATTATAATACACAACAGAAGAGTAGTAAACAATTTAATCCGTTTGGAATAGTAAACTGTTAAGACCCTTTGAAATTGAAATTTAACAGTCAAAGCTTCTTTGGTTATTGCCTTACTGGCACAGTGGCACTATAAAAATATCTTGAAACACCACCATTAGGAAGCAAAGTTGGACCTTGGACCCAGACATAAGAAGAATAGAGAAAAGAGGTAAATACAAGTTTGCTTAGAGTGAAAAGAATTAAATCATGCTAGTCATGCAGGTAACTCGCAAAGCTTAGTAATGAAAGAATGGAGAGGCGGTAGAATAGAAAATGCAATACAAACAAATAGATATCCAGCTATAAAAAGTATGTTGATATTGACACACAAATAAAAAATAACGCAGCACTAACATCCAAATTGAAGTTACATAACTAGTGGAATATCAATGCATGTTTGCATGAGATTTTGTAATCTCACCTGGCATTGGGAAACCTTCTGGATAATCATGGAGATTCAATAATCCATCCCCAAACTCATAAGCTAAATCACATGGCTGATCAGTAGGCATTACTTCATTAACTTCTTTTACAGTAAAATACAGTGGACTGGAAGATGTTGCCATTCGAGCCAGTGGCGACACACCTGCATTTGCACTTATAGCACTTAAATTATTTTAAAAACAGCACATTCGCCAAACTGTAATGGACAACTAAAGTGTACATTAGCAATGGCTAAGAATCATACGATTGCTGAGTACAGAGCCTTAGGGATTCACTGAAAGCTATGGAATTGGCTGGGAACAGGAGCACAATAAACCAATCAGATTATGAATCGGTTGTGGTAGATGCAAATATGGGCCAGGTGCGAAGGCAATGATGTGAGAGTGAAGAAGCACATCTCAAGTCTTACTCTAGTTTTACAATCATTGAATCTTAAACTTACCTATCTGTAGACAGTTGTAACATTCAAAAAAAAATTGTCCAGCGTAAATGCTAGTGGCAAAAAGTACTGGCTATACCTATGTTAACATTTATCCCTAGATGAAGCTAAATTTGTGTGGGATAGTCGCTGTTTAATAGCAATAGAACTTGTCTTAGCCTCTTAGAATGGTCAATACAGAAATCTTAAAGCCCCTTCCTAAATTTAGGTAGATAATGCAGATACTACAACAATATAACATGGTTTAGCACATCTCATGACTCGATGTAAAAAGGTATCATAATTTTTATTTTTTCATTGTCATAGCATTATGACTTTCCTACTTAAAAGTGTTATAGGAAGGTTTTGGTTAATTGAGTTGGAATTAGTGATATACTGATATGTAGACAAAACAGTAGATATTAGTCCTGTTTGATCAGAAAACTGTAATTGAAATCTAAAACAGGGGAACCGGCTATTTCCATTTTCCCATACTATGTCCCTAGTCCGCAAATAAAAAAGAATACAAGGAACGGGCTGATAGAAATAAGCCAGCTAGAAATTATTATTACTTCGGAGTATTTTTTTCTTTAGTTAAGGATTCTAAACATTCTCAATTAAAGTGCAGCTCAAGCCGATATATTGGACTGCTTTCACTTAGATTTAGAAAGCAAATTATTCTTTTGTAATACTGAAGATTTTGCAAGAAGAAGGAGAATGATCTTCCGCAATAAAGGTAAGAAATTCTTACCAATAAGTCTTCCAAATATGTTTCCATCTTTACGAAATATTGCCTAGCATACCAGAACGATGCATAATTCTGGAATCAGAATTCAACAATGTACAAAGCTCCAAACAAGAAAGGGAGATAGAAAGATCGTAGACCGATTAGAGAACTCACCATCTGCAAATATTTGATTAATCCAAAAGGCATTGGACCTATTATTTATTGTTCGAAAAGCAGTCAAAAAATTCTCCCAAGTCACAATAAGAATCAAGATACCAATCAGCACATTAAAAAATGCTAAAGCCAGATAGAAACCTCCACTTTTACGGCAATTCCAGAATTCAAGTGACAAGGCATCATTTTCACCAGACAACAAATTAGAAGAGCTCATCTTAGCTAACTTTGCATCATTGTAGCGCCCTCCAGCAACCTCCCAAGCAGCCAATATAAGCCTGCATTATTCCATATAATTGCAACAAGAGCAGAAGACACAAGGGAAACGACATATGAAGCAAGATATAATCACAATGCAACTATGCAAGAGGTGTTCAAGTATAGCTCCTCAAAATGCTTCCGCAAACACAAATCAAATTTAACTCATCAAAAGATATCCAACAAAACAAAAAGTGGCAACAAAGTTAGAGACCGAAACAAGGCAATCGAGTTATACCTAGGATTCAGGAGGTATAGTAAACGATGCCTTCTTTCTTCTGGGATTTCTGAAATCTTCTTCCTAGTAATAAGGAGACATTAAAATAATAAAAGACTTACTATATGCCTATTAAAACCCATCATCAAACCGTAGTTTTCAAACAAAATTAGTCATTCCCTACTGAACTACACTACTACACTTCAATCATAGCATATCATCCAATTTACATTATTAATCTTGTCAAACTATATCCTTAAACTGATCAATCAAAAAGAAAAACAACCAAATAATGCAAATGATACCTCACAATACACAATTACAACAAACAAAAAAGGGATTAAATAAAGTGAATAAGCAAATAGAATTACATAATATAGGATACAATTTAGAAAATTACCAGAGATATGAAGCAGGATTGTAAGAAGAAGGGTCTAAAGGAATGAGTTCTTTAGGAGGGTCGAGAAACGTGACAACATCTTGCTCATCCAAGTACACCCTTTTACCATCAGGCAGTATTTCAGAGGGTTTTTCATCCCATGATGTCGTATTGAATGCCTTCGCCCCATTTACTGCCTTAATTTTTGCTTCAAATTTGTGTTTTTTGAACAATGGAAACTTCCGACCTAATCAATCACAGCAAAATTTGCAAATTACCCAGCCATTTAATTGAAGAGTGAGAGAGTATAAGATGATACCTTTAGGGAAGAACTGAAGTGGGTAGTTGATGAATTGGCGGGAAATGGAAGAGGAGCCACTGAAAAGTGCTGGGTTGAGGAGGTGGCAGTTGCAGGTTGAGGAAGAAGGTGAAAGAGTTGCAGCCATTTTTGGGGGTTTTATTTTGGTGGGGTTTAAGGAGGTTTAAGATTAAAGATGGATCATGTATGTTTAGGGTTACTAGGTGGAGTGGGCTCTTATTCAAAAAAAAAAAAAAAGGTGGAGTTGGCTCAGTTTAGCAAAATGCCAAAATTGACTTGACTTGAAGTATCAGAGTAATACCACTATTAAAATTTATTTAGAAATACTAAATAGTTTTGCTATCTCTACAGATTGACTAAAAGCGACTCAAACTAAAAATCTACGATTTTATATGAGTTTGACCAAAATTGATCTACGTATGTTGTATACTTGTAAGAAATTACTGTAAGGCCCCGTTCACTTTACCTTATTTTTGTTGAATTGAAATTAATTTTACTGAAATTAAATTATTTTTGCTGAATTTAAATTATTTTTAATGAACTGAAATTAATTTACTGAACTGAAATTATTTTTGCTGAACTGAAATTATTTTTACTGATTTTCTGTTATATTTCTTCTTTAAAGTTATTGATTTTTACTGAACTGAACTTATTTTTGCTCAACTAAAATTATTTTTACTGAACTGAACTTATTTTTGCTGAACTAAAATTATTTTTACTAAATTGAAATTATTTTTACTGAATACTATTTTTTTAAGGTGAAGTGAACAGTGCCTAAGTGATGAGTCAATCCAACTTAATTCACTCAAACCTGATTTGAATGACTTGTTAGTTGTCACCCATTGTCCTAGTACAATAGTACGTATTGAATCGGATTGACAAGAATTAATCTTGATATGGAACACCAAATGCCCTATTTATCATCTTTAGCTAAGCTTAGTGTAAGAATCGTGCTTGAAATAGCTTTAAAGCATACCCAACATCCAAACTTAAGTAAGATCCTATTTTATTTAATAGCAAGGCTATTCAAGTTCAAATTATAATAATTTTAAAAAAAAATGACTTTGATTTGTTCATACAAGTTCTTAACTAAAAATTAAGTTGATAAAATATACTCTCTCCGTCTCACAATACAAAGTTTGTATTCTTTTTTGGATAAACCAAAATATAAAGTGTATTTCTATTTTTATTTTTTTTGTATAAGAAAGTTTATTTCTATTTAAAGGCAGTACTTTTTGAGAATGTTACCTACTTATTGATGAGTTGTCATCCTTTTTACTTTTCTTTTTTTTTGTACTTTTGACATCAATTCCCAACACTTTATCTCTCCCTCTCTTCAATAATTACCAAGTACTTTTTCTCTCTTTATGTCTCTCTAACCCCACATGCACATATGTATTCTCAATCATTAATTTTAAGGAATCTACAACCTCCTTGATTCCCGTAATAAAACCCAAATAGGCTTTGTATTGTGTGACGGGAGGAATGCAAACTAAATCAAGCTAAAATGATGAATTAATTGACTATAACCCAAATGACCAAGCATGAAACTCTTTCTAAGAAAAAAAAATCAAGTATGACACCATCGAATACATTCAGATAATATAAGTTCATTTACATAAGATAAAATATAAGTTTAAAATTTGACAATCAATCAATCAATCAATAACTATATATAACTATATACTAAAAAATACATCAGCAATGACACGTGTCATTTCCTAGCGTGTCCTTAGTTTTTTTTTTTAAAAAATCTTATACTAAAATAATAGCTATTTTCGTTAATATAATAATTACTTAAAATAAAAGATTAAATATACTCTGTATCGTTTACTATATAATAATGACAACTATAAATAAAAATAATATTCCGTAATCAGATTTTATTATTTTAGACATATTTTGTGACATGTTGTACTACTAGAAATATATTATAATTGATATGATGTAACTAAATAGTTATCTAGTTATGTATAATTAATCAATTATATTAAAAGTGTCCTCTCCCGGTAAGTCCTAAGTTTTTTATCTTTTGAAAAAATTATATTTAAGAAACCAATCTTTTACATATAATAATAATAATAATAATAATAATAGTAATAATAATAATAATAATAAGAAACCAATCTTTTACATATTTTGGTGATCTGCAATGGCGAGTTGCCACCTTACCTTTTTCTTATGATGGATTGGGTGTCTATTCAACGGGAGATGTTCGGCACTATGCTTTCCTTGCGTCACGTTTGCAGTCTTCTGGTCTTCAGGCTACGCTTCTTCGCAATTCTGGTATTGTTGGTCCAAGACTGGCATTCGATGGTGCTCTTAGTCTTTTCAATGGGAATGTGGAGACTGACCTTATGCGTAACCCTAGTGAGATCGTTGCCCCCAAACTCATGAACAAATTGGCAGATATATATTTCACGAAGGTCACTGCATCTGTAGAATTCACTTTCTCCTTATCTCTGCGTCAGGTTGCCTTATGGAAGTCCCAGCAGGGGGATCACACTTCTGCCTGGTTGCGAGCGGTCCCAATATCAGGTTTGGGTCAGAATATGAATGGTAAGACTTACCGTTGTGTTCTTTGCTATCGGTTGGGTGTTCCCTTGTTCTCCGTTTCGACACCATGTTCTGCTTGCTCAAGGGTTTTTGATGGGGATATATATGGGGATCATGCAGTGTCTTGTGCTGGGATGGTGGGTATTAAATATCGGCACAACGTTGTTCGTGATACCCTTGTTGATATTTGTTTTCGCTCTAGGATTTCTGCAAGAAAGGAGGTTAACGTTGGGTTGACTGGAGGGAACAACGGGGCTCTTCAACCAGCAAATGTGTTGCTTTATTCCTGGGATAGAGGCCTTGATGTATGTGTTGACTTGACGGGGTCTTCTCCTTTGACACAATCTGGGTTGTCTGACTTCGTTCCTGGTCGTGTTGTGTCGGCTGCGGCTCAATGGAAGCGAGACAAGTATGGGGCGCGTTGCAGGGCTATTGGCTATGGTTTTCTTCCTTTCTCCTTTCTTCAGTGGGGGAATTAAAGAAGGATGTTGTTGCGTTGCTGAAGCAGGTTCAGGCGTACGCTAAGACTCAGGATATTGGTGCTCGTGCAGCTGCTCACATCTTCAACAAGATTGGGTTCGCTATAGCTAGAGGGGTGGGGGCCCAGATTGTATCTCGACTCCCCACTAATTTCTCGTAAATTGTTTGATTATGTAGGTTTTTGTTAATAATAATAATAATAATAATAATAATAATAATAATAATAATAATAATAATAATAATAATAAAAGATTTGATGTTTGCTTCCAAAAAAAAAAACATATTGACAATTATAAATTTAAGCCAAATAAAAATAAAAAATTCTTTACATAATTTGTGACATATGGAGTATTTTTTATTTTTGGGAAAGACATATTATGTATACTACGTTTATTACAACAAGATCATATATTTTTTTTAATTATGTGATGGAAGCTACATATATATCAAATTAACAAATGATACTTTTGTTATTTCCTTGAATAATTTATTATTAGAATTTTAATATATCGATAATCGATAATTCAATAATACTTGCCAAGAACGACACATGTTCATTATTCTTAGTGTGATTTTTTCCTGCCATTTTTGTTGTTTTAGCATTCAATTGATATGAGTATAACATATGAAAGTTGAAAATTTTAATATAATGTTAATTTAAAAAATAGTCATTGAAAATTACCGTGCATGGTAAGAGACCTAAGCTAGTTTAAGATAAGTTCAAATTTTTCTAAAAATCAGCCAAATACAGTAAGATAAATTAATATTACCCAAAGATTATTAACCCGATCTAAACAACTTGATTATTAACTAACCTTCCACATATCCCATAACCAAGACCGGATTCAAATCATTCAATTATTCTACAACTATTGAAAACTAAGAAAAGTATTCCTATCCTAGACTTTCCCAAATCACCTCACTTTATTCTCACTTTCTTATAAAACTCTTCCAACACCATTCATTAATGCCTCATTTTCCCCTCATTTAAACTCTTGTCAAACAAACACACAAATAACAGTCTTTTTAGTCAACTATTCTCTCTCTCCTCAAATATTTCTCCGGCGCCGGAAAATATGTCGGCGGTTGATGGGTTCCGACCACTTAATGAAACATCATTGGTTGAGTACATAAAAGCAACCCCTTCTCTGTCTTCCATACTTGGTGACTCCGACAACTTTCAGATCAAAGAAGTTGGAGATGGTAACCTTAATTTTGTCTACATCGTTGTCTCTCCTTCTGGTTCTGTTGTCATCAAACAGGTAAAAAAAATAAGTTAATTCAATTATTTTTTTGCTTACTGTAGATTATAAAGTTTTGAACTTTATTGTTGGAATAATTGTTTGTTGTAATGGGTGATTGTTTTTTGTTAGGATTATTTAGTATTGTTCTGTAATTTTACGACATTTGATGATTACATGAATTTAATTACATAGATAGAAGTTGTGCAATCACGTGTTGTTGAAATGTGAAATTAGTCAATTACAATAGTAAGTAATTGCAAGGTGGGATTTATCTGAATACATTGTTGGAACAATTGAATAAGGTTTATCAAATACTTATTCTCTGTTCGGAATTCAGAAATAGTTGTGTATGTATACTATTTTGTAATGTTCGGAAAATGTTAGACGTAAGTATATTTTTCGGAGTAAGGGGGTAGTGTTTATTTTTAGTAGAAATGTGGGAATTTGTGAACAAAATAAGTAGGCGATGAATAAGATATTAGCACTGTGAATCTGTAGAAAGATTGTTTTATCCCAAGAGTGGACTAATTTGTGCACCCTCGCGATGAACTCAATTATTTTTATTGATTGTGTACATTGCTATTTTAGAATAGGGGTATTGTTGGTGGCTGTGTGATTATCTCATTTCTCGTGATAAACTAGGGAATCCAATACTGATATGTGGGGTTGTAGGCACTTCCTTACATACGCTGCATTGGCGAAGCATGGCCAATGACAAAAGAACGTGCTTATTTTGAGGCGGTGACATTAAAAGAACATGGTCGCTTATGTCCTGCTCATGTTCCAGAGGTTTATCACTTTGATCGTCCAATGTCTTTGATTGGCATGCGTTATTTGAAGCCTCCACACATCATCCTTAGGAAGGGTTTGATTGCTGGAGTTGAATATCCATTGCTTTCAGAACACATGGCCGAATATATGTCAAGGACTTTGTTCTATACCTCTCTTCTTTACACTACCACTACGGAGCATAAAAAAGGAGGTACATACTTTTTATTTTGCTGTTCTGTTTTGTTCCTTGTGATTTTTATTCGACAATGTAATTTGCTGATATATGAAGTGAAAGGTACTCCAACTAGTGTAATGATTTATTTTATTTGGAACAAAATGTATAGAGTTGCTATACCACTCCTGTTTCCGTATTAACCTAGTATTATA